TAATAGAATCTCTTTTAGTTATCGCTTCCTTTTCAACGAAATACGTGACATAAAACGAAAGTAAAAACAGATAAATTTAAATTTCCCTGTTTTTCAGCAGAAAATTAAATCCTTGTTTATATAAACTTTTTTATCGATCTCGAGGAATACCATCATCTCTGTAAATAATTCCCTTAACTTAAGAAACGCTGTTTATCCTATTATTGCATCTAATTATTATTATTTAAGTAATTATATATTAAATTAAAAATTATATAATGATTAAATTAATTAATAATTACATGTCTTTTATATATATATAATTATTTAATTATCCAATTAATATTGCATATTTATTTATTTATGCACCCTATTGTATTATATCTAATTATGCTAAAATCCTAATGGAAGATGGATGAAGAAGTCCTTTTTAGAAAATAAATTTCCCATCTTATCTAAATTTGTTTCTAATGGTCTGGGGAATTTAAGCATTTTAACAAAATAAAACTTAATCTAATTATGTACAATTATATAATCTTAAATATATTATATAATAAATATAATATACTAAATATATTCTATATTTAATTATTTATATTTCCTATTATTGTATTGTATTTATATGTATATTTGTTTATGAATATGTATTTATATATATATATCCTAATAGAAGATAGGATAAAGATATCAATTTTATAAAATAAATCTCTTATCTCATCTAAATTTGCTATTAAAAGGTGAGTTTATACATTTCACAAATTATGTGACAAATATATAAAAGTTTATTTCACTATGCTAGCAATTTTGTTTCTTGCTTTTGATATTTTCCATCTGCTATCGGTATCAAGAAAAATAAAATAAATAGTTTGCTTTAATAATAATTTCGCTGCTAGACAGTTAGATGCAAAAGTTCCTCATAGTTGGTGAAACGTCTAAACGCACCTGAAGACAGATTAGTTGTTATTTATGATCTGTGGGGTTTATGCATTTAAACGATACAAACATTTTAACTATTTGTTATTTATAAATTTATATTAGAAATATCTCAGTAAATGAACATTAAAAAATAACAATAATGAATTGGATTGTTAATATGTAATGTGTACTACAAAAATAAACAATTATGATAACAGGGAATGACAAACTGTTGCTAATAGCGGTGCAGTTTAATGATTACAGGTGACGTCACGAATGTTTAGACCTCCATTCCTGATTCAGTGTTGTGCACGTGACCCAATGATGTCACGAATTGTAGATCCTCGAAGACCCCTATGAGATAGGAAACCTACGATTTTGTTTCCCAATTGTGTCTTCCGATGATTTATAGCTGAAGTGGAGGTACCGTTTTGTTTGTAATAATTTTGGTATTAATAATTATAAATAAATTGTTATTCAATTGGTTTGTTCATTCGAAATCACCTACATGTTTATAGTTCTTGTATGCTTTGTTTTTCTTTGTTTCTTTATTATTTCAATTTTCTGTTTGTCTATTGAGGAAAAAAGTAACAGGATTTGGATCTTTTTATTTTATTTAACATCTCATTCATTTTTAAATCACATTTCATTTTAACATTTTTATGAATTTTAATGTGGCTAATATATATATATATATATATATGAATTCAATTTTAGAGTTATGAATTAGATTGACAAAATTTATGTATCTAGAGTACATTTCTTTATGATGTTTTTAGTGAAGCATGGGTTGATTTCATTCTTTTTTAAAGCTAATTTGTTATTCCATCAAATCATTTAGCTTTTTGTCCAACTATACATTTCATTGATGTTTCATTTAGTTCATTGTTGGATTGATGTATCTACTTATTAAATATTTCACATTACATTTGCATAGTTTGACATGTTTATTTTCATTTTAAGCCCTCATTATATCCACATTTTTCTAATGAAATAAATTTCTAATCAAATGTTGTTTAATCAATTGACTATGCTTTTTCAACTATCTTGTTTATCATTATTGTTGAAAGTCGAAAAAGATTTGTTCTCATGCAGTTGTATATTTGTAAATGTAACCTTATCAATATACTCTTATTCCTCTTGTGTAATTATTTAATTTGTTGTTTGTTTTGTGTGTTCAAATGTTAGAAACACTACCCCTTTTTTATGTGTGGGACACCACTTTTAAGATATTGTTACAATATGATTTAAATATTCTGATTTAAAAAATAAATAAAGAAAGAAAAACTTCAAAAACATAATCAGCTACCCTATTCCATCAAACGGTTGATTTATCTATTATACTATTTATGATTATTTAAAAAATATCAAACACTTTCTAATATTTGATATATATGATATATATATATATATATATATATATATATATATATATATATATATATATATATATATATAGTAAGGGTAATTATTCTCATTATAAAAAAAATTCAAATCCAAGTTTTCAACAGAAATGTGTATTCTGAAGTTCTTAGAGTCCAAATAACCAAGTCGCACAAATTAGTCTGTGTGTATGTCTGCGGGTGTGCTTGATAAAGTGTCAGAAAGAGTTGTCCTTTTAGGGTTTATGGTGTATTTGAGCCGGTTGGATGGCAAAGGCAATATCTTCCTCTAGACGTATTTAATCAAAGACTAGTTAGAAGCTCTCCAAAGAAGAAAAAAACTTTGGGAATTTGAAAATTTGCTCTTGTAAAAGTTCACACTGACAGCTGATTTTAATGCACCATTTGTGTGTACTGCCATCTGAAATGATTTGCAATTTACGAGAAATTTAGAAGATTATGAATGTGTCAAAGTGGAAATTTCAAATTGTGCAATGGAAAAGTTTCTCAAACATTTCTGGTATCTCTCAGAGGTGCCTGGCATTTTTTGATGTTCCAGAAGAAACCAAAAAAACAAACAATGGATGCTTTATAAGACAACAAATAACTGTTAAAAGGAGTCTCAACATTTTGAAAAAGGACACGTCATATTTTATTTCCAATAAATCAATGAGAAAGTTCAGAATCTTAACTCTACCTCCAGAGTTCTTGCAAACAGACTTGACTACCATGAAAGAAAATGAGTCGTACAAGAAGAGTAAGGCAATGACATGTTCACTTAAAGTTGTTAATGACATTGCTGAACATGAAGTTGCATTGATAAAAAATATAACAAACTTCTGGTAAAAGATAAAGAATAGAAAGTTTTTATTACTGTTGGTTAAGATATTCAAAAACAAGTAAACAAGCTTTAAAAAATTAAAACGAACTTCAAAAAATTGACTTTAATGTCTTAACATAATATTATATCTCAATCCATTTTCATTTATATTATCAAATGTACATAACATTTATATGATAAAGCTGTTCTCTCCCACTCTGGCAATTTTTTGGACACCTTTTTTCAAAGATTTTGCACACTTCTATAGCCTCTCCAAATTGATTTAGAGAGTTGGAACTTTTTATGTTAATTGAGTTATTAGACTAATACCTACTCCCACCATTGTTTATACTGTTTTTGGTTTTTTAAAGATTTTGTACAACGCCACAGTCACTTCAAAGAGAGTCTGTTGAAAATTTGTATGTGGATTTGAGTTAAAGAAGTGCCTTTAACTCAACTTTTTTCTCTTTTCCCACCATTTTGAAAGCTTAAATTTTGAAACCTATTATAAAATATTTAAAAACAAAATATTTGAAAGAAAATCAGTCAAAAAAAATTGACGCAGGTTTAATTAAACAATTAAGTCACTTTTCATCTGCTTTCCAAACATAAATAAGAGGAAAATACGATCTTCATGATGGAATTTTTAGTTACTACTAACAAATCATCTTTATATTTTATTATTAACATTGGTTTTTCATCCATCTTTTCTACTTGATTATTTATAATTTTATTTAGATAGTGTCGTCCAGTAACCAAAACCAAGTTTTTATCCATTTTTAATCCATTACTTAATTCAATATTTTATTTTTAATACTTATATGTTTTTCACACCGACAGATTACCTAATTTTATTGTCATACCTAAAAGATAGGCTTTTCCGCATGAAAATGGGGACTGAGTTTTCTGTAATTTAGCAAATAACAATCCCAGGTACCTCAAGGCAGTGTCTTAGGTCCTACACTTTTCAACATTTATTGCTTGGACATTCCACAACACTCAGAAACACTGTTGGCTACATTCACTGATGAATCGGCATTATTAACATCTAACAAAGGTGCAGCTAAGTCTTCCCAGGAACTAAAAGAATACCTAAACGGCATAGCTTATAGGGCTAAAAGAAGGAGGATAAAAATGAACAAGTCTAAGAGCTAATTTGTTTCGTTTACACTTCGACTTGACTCTTGTCTTCCAGTATTCTTTAACAATATCGCTAAACCACATTCAAAAACTGTACAATATTTGGGTCCCTACTTGGACCAATGACTGGCATTGACATATCACATAAAACAGAAAGGAAATAACTTAATCAGTGATACAGATTTCTTTCTAGGTTACTTGACTGATGTTAAATTATTGGCGACTAATAAATTATTTATTTACAAATTCCTCATTAAACCACTTTGGACATATGGTATCAAGCTATGGGGAACAGCAAAGACATCAAGTATAAAAATAATTCAGTCATTCCAGTCAAATGTCCTCCATAAAATTTTAGATGCACTCTTTTATGTTTCATACCTTACGTTACACTCTGAGATTCCTTTTATCACGGCAGCTGCCATAAACTGCTTTAATAATTTTCATGTCAGACTGATTCTAAATTCATTCAATCTCTATCTGCTGCCACAGATCCATATGATCTGACCAGAAGACTGCTGAGGTGCTTTCCAAGAGACTTTCTACATTGAGCTACTTGCTGTATTATCTTTTGCTCTTGTGTTATTATGTTATCTTATTTTCATTTTACTCTTTGTTTTGTTATTTTTTCTTGCTATGTTTTGTTTTGTTCTCGATATCATATTTTCTGAATACAATAGTAGATTGTAAATTTATTGTATGTTATAAATAAAATAAAATTAAATAAAATATGTTTTCCATATTATGGTTAGTATATTTTCAATAATTTAAGTAGTAAATCAAAGATATTTTTGTAATTTCTAGATGGAGTTGAAATTACATAGCCCTGTTGGGGCTGAACCTGTTGTCTACCCATGGCCAGGAACAGAACGCCTGGACAGTGCAGGAGAGATCTTAGAAACAATTAAATGGGTTTGTGATGATTTTCCAGAACTGAAATTACCTCTTGAAAATAATGTACTTAGTAATTCCAGTTCAAAGGATTACAATAGCATGAAAGATTTATGTGATCGTTTTAATCGAGCTGCAGATGCTGTTTCAATGCTCAAAAAAGGTATGCACCATTCTAGAAAATCTCCATCTCGTGGTTTACTTAGACATATACTTCAACAAGTATATAATCAGTCAGTATTTGATCCTGAAAAGCTGAATCAGTATGAACCATTCTCTCCAGAAGTATATGGAGAAACATCATTTGATCTCATTTGTCAAATGATTGATCAAATTGATATAACACAGGATGATGTGTTTATTGATTTGGGATCTGGTGTAGGACAGGTTGTTCTTCAGATGGCTGCAGCTACCAAATGTAAAATATGCTATGGTGTTGAAAAAGCCGAAGTTCCAACCAGGTATGCAGAAACAATGAATATACAATTTAAAAAATGGATGTCATGGTATGGAAAGACGTATGGTGAATATAAATTAATAAAAGGAGATTTTCTGTCTGAAGAACATCGTAAGACTATTATTGGATCTTCTATTATATTTGTTAATAATTTTGCATTTGGACCAACAGTGGATCATATGTTAAAAGAAAGATTTGCTGATTTAAAAGATGGAGCTAGAATTGTTTCTTCAAAATCATTTTGTCCTCTAAATTTCAGAATTACTGACAGAAATTTATCTGATATCGGTACAATAATGCATGTGTCAGAAATGCAACCATTGCAGGGTTCTGTTTCTTGGACAGGAAAACCCGTTTCTTATTATTTACATGTTATTGACAGAACTAAACTCGAGAGATATTTTCAGAAATTAAAAAATCAACCAAGAGGTGGCAGAGAGGCAGTTAGTAACTGTGGAAGTCTTGAAAATACTGACAGTGAAAGTAGACAGGTTAGTGAGCGAAATACTGACAATACATCAGATGATGAAAGCACAGATAACAGTTCCCCTCCAAGAGGACCTACAACGCGGAGGGCATGGTCTGACTATGTCAATGCAAAATCATACAGTGATGAAGAAAATGTTAGTCGTACCAGTAGTAGACCCAAAAGAATATTACCAAGAACTAGTAAGTCTTTGGCAATTACACCAGCTATGACTTCCCAAAAATCTTCGAGGCGTAAAACAAAAGGTAGAAAGACCAAACCTAGAAGACCAATAAAAATTTCTGGATTAGATCTGCTTCATAGTGAAACCTTATTAAGCACATCCCCAGAGAAAGTTGGCCGAAAACCACCTCCAGCACCTGGGTGTGTAGATCAGCAACTCACATCATTAACTTCAAATGCCAGAACTGTTCATGAAGAGCTCGAAATCCCTCCTGCACCTGCTGCCACTCCATACTCTTTGCAAATTTTATTGGATTTATTTAGGGATCAAATGGTTTCAATGATAGAACAAATGAAAAATCCATCATTCCGGGATAATGTGCAAAGGCAGATTGAAAAAGAGAGAGAACATAATAATAATCTTAAAAAACATATTGCTCAAATAGAAAGACAAATTAAAGTTTTAACAGAAGACAGTGTTATTTTATTGAAAGCTCGAATGTTTGAACTGGGTGTTGTGGATTTGTCTGTTAGTGGAATATTTACGAAAGCATCAGAAATTGTTAGAGAGCATAAAATTTTGCAAGGGAAAGCTGGTAAGTTACAAGAACAAATCAAAAGTTTAGAAGAAGAACAAAAGAACCTTGTTCGAGAACGTGAGAAAGAAGTTTGTAAGCATATGAGGATTAATGGACCTTTGAGACCAGAACATCTTTTAGAAGAGATATTTGCCACGATTAGTACTAAGAAAAAATTGAATCATCACACATCGATTTTGGAAGCTGAAATTTCAGCTCTTGAAAAAGCTAATAAACAAGCACAACTTTTGTTAAAACAAAAACAAATGGCAAGTACTGTCAAGCCTTCTTACCGGTACAATGATCATATGGATAGGCGATATGTTGATATTGAAAAGTCACGAATTCGACACAATCATAGTTCTAAAGAAGATAATTCACATATATCATTTACTGCCAATAAAGCTAATGAACCTCCAAGAGTTGCAAACTTTGAAGAGCGCCTTAAAAGTATTATTACCACAGCTTTAAAAGAAGAAAATGCTCCAAGAAATATGACACCTGATTATAGCAGAAACATCAACAATAAATCTTTGACCCCGTTACAGGGAAATCAGGAGTCGCCTGGAAAATTGGCTCTCCGAAGACATCTTTCTCAAGATAAAATAGTACCTAAAGCAAAAAAACCGAGACCTAGAACAATAGGTGATCTCGTAAATGTAGAAATAGAAAGAACGTTAGATATATCAAATCAAAATATTATAAATGCTGCTGTTGAAATGAGTACATCTTCACCCTCGCTCACTTTAACAAATCCTCAAAGTGGGCTAGACCCGTATGAGTTTGACTCATTGAAATATGAAATAAAGGAAGAACCTGTTGAAGGGCTTGCAGCCAGTTTACATGAAAGTTTGTTTTGTGGGGAGGTGAAAGAAGATCCTGAAAATATAACATTGCCAGAGGTTAAAACTGAGGCAGAGAGCCTGAAAAGAACTATATCTGAAGAGGATTTTTTCCCTAATAAAAGATTAAGTTTAGATAATGATGGAACCCCTGCAGATGAAGAAAGATGGCAAGATAGAATTAGTTCTGATTTTGATAGACTTGTTGCCTTTGCGTCTACTGAGCTTGATAAAAGGAGACGGAGCACAGAAGGAAACATGGAGAGTCCTGAATCTGTAGTTGATTCAGAAGCAAGTAAGAAGATAGCAAGGTACTTAAGCGAGAGAGAGAGGGATACACCTCCTGTCTTAGAACCACTTCAGGTGATTGCTGCATCACCTCCACCTTCACCACTTCCTATTTTGCCTCTCGATGGACCATACTCACCAGTCAACAAACCGACTCATGCGAACCATAACCATTTCAAGAAGAAGTTCTTTCAGAGGAACTGGAAGCTTCACAAGTAAAGTTACCATTGTGCCCAGATTTACACCAGTTGAGCTCAATATTTGTTGATTGGAATATAGTTTGTTAATTAGTTGGTTACTTATATTTTTAGTTATGCCTGGGTTCTATATTATTGAATTTATTTTAAATGAGGAAATGGATTCATTTAAAACAATATTTTTCTAGTTTATAGTTTTATGAAGACTAAATTAACAAATAATTAAGTTTTACAGTTCATCAAAGGAAGAAATTATAGAAATTGTCTTACTACAAAAATCAAATGGATCATCAGAACTTCTACTAATCTAAAAACATCTTTATTAAGTACAAATTAAATATAATATGATAAGAGCTTTTACCAAAGAACAGATCTTAGGTCGTAAAACAATATTTATTTTTATAAATTACTACAATTAAAACTTTAAATTAAATATAATAATAAAATAATTAAAATTGTGTTTAACAAGCAGTGTCCAGAGACATGATAAATTTTAAAAAGTGTGGGCATTTCTGCAAACTCCACATCCCAATGCGAATTCTTCACCTGTTGGGGGGTGTTTGACGTGAAGAGGGCATTCTTCTCCTTCCAGCTGCTTGGCTTTTGGACCTGATAACATAAAAGTTAATTTTAACCAATGAAAATCATAGTGACTCTTTTTTTTTTACATGGTTTTAAAATAAATCTTGGCACTGTATAATATTTTCTCGACTATTTTAACTGCATGTTAAAAAAATGGTAAGTGTGTTGTAATTTTTATAATTTGTTTTTATATCTCTTGATTTATGTTGTTATGTATAATAGTAAACAATTTTTTCACAAAACAAATGGTGTTTTTACTTTAATGTATTTTATGCCATTACACCGCTTCGTAATAAACGAGTTATATTGAAAATTGATACTCATTATATTAAGTTGTATATAATTAATTCTTTAATATTTTTTAATGTGATAATTGAAAATGTTTGTAAATAAGCAAGATAATACATTATTTAATGTGTTGCCATATTACTATTAGAGAAGTTAGGTTTATTTTTTTGTTAATGCATTTATTTTATTTATTCTTTCAGATATATTTAAGTTTAGAGAGTTAATTTTTTTTCGTATTGTTCCTTAATCAAAAGAAGAAGATTTTATGTATTTTTCATCTATAACTCATTGGAAAAAACTACTTCATATTTTATAAAAATGTATAAATTATAAAAGTTGGTGATTGGTTTATGAATATGTTTGTGCTCATAAAAAATATCTCACTTATTTGTGTACTGAGTAACTTAGTCAAATGTATGTGTTCATTTCATTATACAATTTTTCACTCAATTATTTAAGAAACTTTTTATCAATTAAAAAAATAATATCAAAATAATAACTGTATAAATTAGGCCATTTCTTTTATTGTTCCTCTGTTCATTTAATTTAAACAAATTATATTTTCATATGTTTGCAATAAGGTTCCTAGTAAATAGGGGACATCATCGTAGTACAATTTATGTATAACTAAGTCACTTGGAAAAACCCTATTAAATTAATTTATGCGGACATTGATCATATATAAACAATAATAACAAACATTGGTAAAAAATTAAATCTCTCTCTTGCATTTTGAATTTGTGAAGCTTTTTTTTTTTCTATCTCTAATAAAATTATGATTAAATATCTTTGTAGGTTTGAACCATCTTTAATTATTGAAATAAATTTATTTATTTTTTATCAGAGACTAAAAAATACTTAAGATCTAATTTTCTCTGTTTTATTGTAATTCTTATTTTTTGATTTGCAAATTATTCTTAAATATTTGTTGTAAACAAACCACTAAAGAACGAATATTACAGGTACTTCACTCAACATTTCTATTTGTAAATCTGATATTTTCACTCTCTCCCCTCCCCTCTTTTGGCTTTATAGACATTGTAGATCTTATGTCACCATTACAAGCCTCTGCCTGTCTTGGGCTATTGCTTTCTATTATTCTGCTTGCAGCCATTTAGCTTCTTGGTTGATTTGATCTATCAATCTGGTTTTTGACCATCCATTTGGTCTCTATTCATTGAGGCATCATTAATGCGTAGAAGCTTTTTGACCTCTTCGCCTTTATATCATGGAATATTAATCGATTGAGCAATTTCTGTAAGCAGTTCTTTCTTTTTCAGTTCGTTATTGTACAAAGGATTTTCCTTTCAAATCATTCAATAATGCTTTCCTAAGGTACTTGTTGGTTTCCAGATCTCCCATCTGTACATCAGAAATTGCTTTATTATACCGTTTTACAACCTTAATTTGAGATTTTGTGGGATTTCAATGCCTTTAAACCAATTTTGAGTATAAATTTGATAAAGGTGGTTCATTGGCTTTACCATTTTACTAGATGACACAGTTACTAGTCAGTCATATGTAAACAGAACCATTTGTGCTTTAAATCTTAGACTGAGTTATAAATAAATATAAGAATAGTAATTTGAAGGATTCAAATTTAATCAAACTAAAAATGTTGACACTTATTCATCTATAATAATTAATTATATATTGTAGTTTTCTGAATACAATAATTTTGAAGCGGTGTTGAATTTCTTATTAAAGTTACTTTTCTTATTCCTGAAAGTTTTGGTAGTAGATCACTTAATACTTTTTTGAATGTATATATTTTACTATATAATGAACACTAGAATCAGTCAATTAGTAAAATATAGAGAAGTAAGAACTGAATATTTATTTTGTAAGGTTTCAGTTTTACCATGTAACAACAAATAGAAATAGCGAACTTATTTAATTTCATCAGTGTTAGATGAAATAACAGGTTACTATTCTTATCATTTCAAATTTATAGATTCTTATTTAAAATAAAAACCTTTTGTTGTTAGTAGGGTAGGTAGGTTTGGGGATGACAGATCCTCCTAGAGCATACCCAGTCCCTATAAAGTAAATATCTGGTCCTTTAATGGGCAGCAGGAAAAAATTAACAGATGAGCATCATCCAAGCTAAATCACTTCCTTACATAAAAGTTGGTCAAGAAACAGTACTTTCTGATTTAGTAATATATATATTTTAATATTAATAAAAGTTTTTAATGATTGATTTAAAATTTATTAATAATACAAGTTAATTATGTTTTCTTTATTAAACCACAGTAAACTAGTGATGATAACTGTCAGCAGTTTTTCTCCCTTAAATCTAGTTATAGATATGTCCGTTGGTCTGACCAGTACATATTTATTGCTTGAAGTATGCCCTCACATATTTTTATGTCTTTAAATAAGTGTTTGCAGCAAAGTACAAGAAATAAGATTAGAAAGATTTGGCTATCTGTTAGGTACTATTTGCTGTATAGATTATTTACAAATATACGTACACATAGGGTCGGAACATGATGTTCTTGTGTTTGCAAAAAAGATATTGGTGCCTTTCAGAAAAAGTTAATGTCCTGAACAGGAAAGTTCTTTTTTAAAAAATATTGATATAGTGAAAGATAGCAATTTCTCATCCTTATCATAACAAAATCAATGACAATTTTTTTAGGGCTCAAGGATCAAAGGCAGTTTTTTAGGGTATCACATTTCCAATGCTTCATTGATTTAAGCAAATTTTAAGAATTTAAATAGTTTCCAATCTCCAAAACTTTCAAATGGTTTAATAACCGGGTCTTGGTTTTGAAAGTTGTGGATAACCATGATCTTGTAACCTCAAATTTTTCTTTACATCTTTATTTTGTTTTGTTGCCACACTTAAAGAGTTTTGTTAAGGAGACATTCATTCATTCACTGAGAAAAGAAAAATTAAAATTCACTGTGTATCAGGAAAGAGATTGAGAGAATATCATTTACGTTGGTACAACATTACCTACTTAGGTAATGCCTTGCTCGATTTTCCATTTGTAATGCAGTAAAACATGATTTTTTATTATTTAATGTCCATTCTTAAGCATGTAAATTCAAGACCTTTTTTATTAACATTCACCTTTCTTATTTTCTTGAATGTGAATTTTTTTTCTCTAACAAATATATAAGGTTCCAAAAAAAGTTTGCATAGAGATTTTCAATATGCAAAGGTTCGAATGTATGTATTTTTAACTAAACAGATAATTGAGTGGGCATGAAATCTACTTAACAGAAATTACAGTTAATTATTACAAAATAATAAAACTAATAGAATATAAAATAAATGAGTCAAGCTTTAATTTTTCAAATCCCTGGAGCAACATAGTTTTCTATGAAATTATAGCCAAACCATTGAATTCTTCTTTATTCATACTTTATTGCAAATAATTTTAGATAATTTTCTGTTTGAAAAATTTCTCTTACTCTTTGTAACAGAAACTGGTTGAGCCTGTAGAACATTTAAAGCAATAAGTATAGCTGGAAAAAGTTAAAGGTTATGGTAATGAACAGGTGCACATCCTCCTCTGGTATTCCCATTATAGCATTGTAGGTATAATGAGGAGTTGGAACTAACTGAATTCTGGACTGTCGAATGACAAATTTGTCAAAGTGTACAGTGTGCAGAGAAGCAATTTATTTAAATAATCAAATTTACAATTTTTAAGTACAGTGTGTATTTGCCTGACACAATTCACACAGATTTTGTGTTTGAAAAAACAAAAAAAAAAACAAGAGGTTCAGTTTGGACATGAACTGTTAGTTTGGTTCATAAACTTATAAGCAAAATCTTTGTAAAATTATTCCCGTCAGTCATTAATGTAATGTCGTAGATTGATAAACAAGCTTAGGAATAACAGAAATAATATCAATAATTACAGTTATGTAATAATGTGTCGCAATTAATTAAAATTTATTGAAAGAATACATCTTCCTAGAAAAATAAATTATTGAAAACATTTTAGAAAAAGTCTACTAAGCTATATTTTTACATACTTAATATTAATAATAAACCCACCATTAGATTGATCTGCAATATCTTTAAGTAATTATTGTTAAAAACTTCCCTTTTCTCCAGTCACGGGACTCAAAATTCTGAGTTTTGGAGGTTGTTTGCTCGGTAAAGGTAGTAGATTTTGTTGAGATTTCTTTATGAATATGCCATTAAATTTTAATTCTGTTCAGAAATGTAATGCCATTTGATGTGAACAAAAGAAATTAGGACACCATAAGTAGGAGTAATGGATAGAAGTATTTATTTTTTAATAATTTATTTTTCTACAAAGATTAATATTTAAATAATGTCAGTCCATATCCACATTATTTTAAATAAAAAAAAAAACTTAATTTAGTTGTAACATTTAAAACTTTGTATTGAATTTATATATCGATTAATTTTAAACAATTGAAAAAGTCTGCCAAACCAGTCCTCAACCTCGCAATGCTATACAATTTTTTGCCAAAAGAAAGCTTGAGCTCCAACTGGGATTCGAGCTAGGATCTAATAGCAACCACAGTCTCTGACTTTTTTTTTTTTTTAAGCTGGAGTAAGCTTGTTGGGTTGATCAGCTTGTTTGCCTTGGGATCAATCACCCTATCAATGCCGAATAATCGGAATAAATAAATAATTTTTCAATGTCCCTCATGGGTGTTTATCTTCGAACATAAGTTTAGTTTTTGTAGCCTGTAAAAAGTTTTTAAGACCTGCTTTTCTATCTCCAATTGCAGAGGTAATAATAGACCTAACATTACTTCCATGGCTGCAGTTTGACTAGTTTTCATTGCAACAGGTTAATCTCTATAATTTTTCCAGTTGTGTCCTATTGTGGTCCAAGTCTCTGCCTTAAATATTGGTCTGATTTTAAAATTGTTTTGTCTGCATTCATGCTAATTTACAGAATTCTAATTTGTTACTAATTATGCTTTTATGTTTATAAAAATTAAATTAGTCTCTTTTCTATTTGAAACATGTCTCAGCTATACATTAATAATTTTTTAATCATTATGTAAGAATCAGCATATATACTTGAATATATATTCATAATATGATTCATGTGTAAATATTAATAAATATCTTAAAGAAATAAAACATTTGCAAATGACTATTATAAAAATAGTAGAAATTTATTTCTATTCAAATAAATAAATGCTAAGTAGGACTGTGTATTTTTAAATTACTATTTACTTCTGTGCAATTAGTAAAAGTAAGTAATGAAATTCATATATTAGTTAAGTATATATTATTTTAATAAGAAACTATTTCTTAGTACTCAATGGGTTTTTCCAAGGATAATTTGGCATAGTAGAGTATAAATATGTGAGGATAATAACAAGCTAAAGTCTTCCTTTTAAAATTTTAGGAAGACATTGTCTTGCTATTATCCTCATCAAGGTTTCTGTAACATTAAAATATAGTTTAAGAATAAATATATAGGTGTTTCGAAATATATAAAGTAAAGTCCATCAATGCAGAAAGAAAAACTTATTATTTTTTTCCCCCCAAATATTAGGTGAATCTTCAAAGGTTTTAACAACTAATGCTAAATATAACAACTATAACTAAATTGTAAATGATTCGGCATTTTTAATATAAATTATTGTTATGATTTTGGTTGAATTAATTATAAGTAATATAATGCTAAGAGTGCACTTGAATATAAAATAGTAATCTACTTTAATGGCCAAATATTTAGTAGAGTTAATGTATTATTCTAAATATACGATTCCTATAATTTTATTTTTGTTTATTTACAAGTTTATGATGTGTATTTATATTACATGTTGTAGACTGTTTTGTACCGTAGAATATATCAATGACTGTTATATGTTCAGCTTTAAATGTTCATCATGTGTTATAAAATATTGTAATAAATGTGTATTAAAACATTTTTATTTACTTGTGTAAAAAATAACTTTTACTATTTTTGAAACATTCCTTTTCCTACCTATACCTGAAAATGCATAATAAACAGAAGGAAATTTTAAGATATATATTCTACTAGTTAAAAAATTATCTTAATATCAGCGATAACAGTCTGCAAGAAAGCATTTCAATTTTAGGGACCTTAATGATATTTTTGTGAATGCCTTATTTTTCTTTTGAGACTAAGATATTTCCTAATAAAAGAACAACAAACTGACACAATTATAGCGTTAATATAGACTTTCAATAAATTATTTAAGGACATTATGCCCTTAAAAATAGAAAACTACGAGCAATTGTGGTGATGGATAGAATCTAAAATGATTCCTTCCTATTCACATAAACAACTGCTCCTAAGTGCCAAAGGAGTATGGAATCATAACAGATGCAGTTTATCAACTTGTATTAAGCCTTAGAAGTGGACCCAAATTGACTAATTTGATCAAACGTCAGTAATAATTTAGTTCATCCTACAGACCCCTTTTCTATCAAATTACAAATATCCATTTAAAATTTTGTAAATGACTTTCATCTTGATTAATAATTGATTTGATATGATATCATGTCAATTATTGACATTGACAGTCAAGGTATAAATGTTCAATATAGGACAGACTCTAATATTTGTTATTTTAACATGGTGCCAATGATTTGTTATGAAAATAAATTGTTAATATTTAAACAATAAAAATGTTGAATTAAAAAAAAACTGACTACAAAATTTGGGAAATTTTAAAACAATCTACTGGGATGTATAAGTAGATATGGAAGTACATTCTCTTACTTCCCAACTACAGAGTATATCTCGGTGCTGGCCAGGAGATGCGAATAATAGATGCCTCCAAAGGAGGCAGAAAGATGCGATAACTTCATAAATACAGGTACTTGAGATGATATCAGGGGATACGAGTAGGAGGATAACTGTGGTGCCAAAACCCAAGTCATCTTTCTAAAGAGCATACCCTATTATCTTGGAGATTGAGGACGATACGATTAGTCCCACTGAGGTGATAGTATACCTTATTGTAAGATTTGGGTACTTGTGTCCTACATGGTCGGAACGGACTGCTATCTGCCGATGTTTATAACCTGAACACTGATAATTCCTATCTTTGTATTCATATTTATGGAAATTGAAATAGACCAAAAAACAAATGTAATAATAACAAAACACTTTTATTTTACATTTTATATAAAATACAACATAAACACTTAATGCATGCAATGCATATATGTTCATACTTCATATAACCAACATATATACATATAAAACACTTTTATTTTAATTTAATTTATTTTTGTAGACAAAATAGCTTAATGCTATTTAGAATAGTGAGGAACAGATCCTCTTCTCTGTGAGCCCAATAAAAATTCACATAAATAGAAATCTAAATGTTGCCTTGCAGTTCCGCGCTATTTATTATTTCTCTACTTAGCTGAGCCCCATAATCGTTTTATGTGTTGAGTATGGATCCCACTTGAAGAATCAAAAAAGTTATACTGGTGATTTACCTGGAAATGATTATAATTTGCTTCATTCAGTTGTTGGGTGTTGTATCCTTTCCAACAGTCAGAATAAATGGTGCTTCTCTCTTCTATATTATTTTTAATACATTCTAATGAAGTTGTTGCTTTTCTGTCCTTTATTTTTACCATGAAACACTCCTCTGTTTCTTGTCAAACTTCGCCAAACATCTATTGTTCAGTGAGAACTCTCTATATGATTTTTTCTTTTAGAAAAAAGACTCGTCTACTTCAACGACTTTTCCAGGCCCTTCCATTTTCAATTGACCTATATAACATGCTATGGGCACAAACCTCTCTTAAAAATTTGTTCCACATTACCACACTTTTGTTGGATAGTTTCTGCTGCTCTTTGCTACACTGTATTGTTAAATTATGAGACCCACTATAAATAAATTTTAAAGCCGTTGAAAAGGTAATCTTTGACCCCTCTAATCATGTTTCTTTTCTTATAGATACGTTTTTCTTACAACTACTACAAAAATATCTCCATTTGGTCTTCCTGTCAATAATAATATCCATTTAAACATGACAAAATTAACAAAAAATAAACAATGAAATAACGCACGTGTAACGGAAGGATAACAAGAGCTTATACGAGATAAAAAGGGAGATTTCATGATGTAAGATAAGATAACAAGGGAGTTTTCATCCCGACCATGTAGGACACAAGTACCGAAATTTGATATAACTTCTCACTTGGACTACTTGGCTACAAAACAAGGGTTTTTGTCATCCTGAATGGACTCGCTCGTGTTGATGGCACCTTCTGGGTCCTTAGATACCCAGCAATTTTGGCCATCTACAAAGGAATTATGCTGGGTAAGGTATGTATCCTCTTATGGAATCTGGTTCTTCTTTTCCAGATACTCCAATTATTCCTGATAGTTATAACTGTTCACTTCATTTCTATATAATAAAACTGTGTATTTTAGACGAGAGGGCTTCAAAGATTTTTGGCCAGTGGAGCATATTAAGATTTCCACTAAGTTTCATTGGCCACAATGACACCTCCACTAAGTCCTAAGGGAGGGACACGGCTTATGATAAATAAAAAAAAAGCTTGCTTTATAAATGACATTTCATGAAATGAAAAAATAAAATGAGATTTCCAAGAGGAACAACTTATACAATGAAAGTTATAGCAAATTTGTGTTGATATTTGTCCAATCAACCTACCTATACTAGTTAAGGAAAGTATTGCAAGGTAAGTCCAATTTCCGATATGCCGTTTTCGTTCGATGGATCTATAAGTTTCAGAGCTCCCTGAGTCCGAAAGACACATTTTTTTTCTTAAATTCTATTTAAGAAAATATATTTATTCATAATACTTTGCACATTTTATGAATATATTTGGAAGTATTTTTTTATTTATCAAAACCAAATATAAAGAAAAGAGAGAACAAATATTGATTGTTTTACCTGCTGGGCAAGCTGGTAGTTCAGTTTTTGCTATGTTAGTCACTCGTTGAAAATCATCATGACAAGCATTGCAGAAATGAGTTGTTCCAAAACAAAAGAAAACTGCAACCGAACAGCAATATCTACACTTGTATTCAAGAAAATCTGTTCCATGTTTTGGACACATCTGTGCTCTAGAAACATCTGAGCATGCTCCACACACCAGCTCTGAAGGGTCGAATTCTCCACTTCCACCTGCCTCAATGTCACACCGTGCTTCTCCACCATAGTAAGCCTGATAAGTGAAAAGCATTATTTAAAAAATCAATATATTTGTACTTCTATACGTATTAGTTTAGTAAATAGATAAAGATATATAAATTATACACTACACTTGCTACTTTAAACTACAAGACTTGTCATAGGACTATTAAATTTACTTGTAACTTATTGATTGACAAACATAAAATTTAAAATTTGCACTATTTGAAATACCAACCTTTTTGCATTTGAAGCAAACGTAATAAGCATATCTGTCCATAGCATATCCAGCAGGATCTAAACGCCCTTTGTCAAGACCTTCATATTCAAGCCTCATCAATGCTTTTCTACGTACATCTTCCATGAGCTCTTTTACAGGTTCTAGCTGTTTAGTTAAAATTTTATGCTCCATAGCACTCTATTTAAAAAATTAAAAAATAAAAGTTAGTAATCTATTGAATGCTTAAATAAATTTAAAAAAAAAAATTTATTTATTGAGTATTACAACAATCTGTCTCTTGGACATTGGTTATAGTGAGGTAGAATGACATTCGCACTATATGTACAAGAATATATAAAATAAATAAAAGTAAAATAATAATCAAAAGTATATACAATAGATAATAAAGTAAAATAACATAAAAAATAAGAAAATTAAAATTAAGCAAAAAAAACACATGCATACCTATATACAATCGGGCGAGGGAACTCCAGGAGAACCCTGCGCTACCCTCTCTACCGCATCACTGATACTAAAGCCAGCGGAGATTGATCGAGAGCACTTTAGCCACATATACTCATGTCTTGAGTGGAGAATATATACAATCTACAAAAGGTCGCGAGGCCACTGCCGTTTCAACCTTTTGGGAGGATTATAGGGATGGGAGGTGCTTGATAGGGATTGTGCAAGAGGATTTGGGTGGTACACAAGGCTCTGGTGAAATTTGGAGAATTTTTCTGGGATAAGATCTAAGACAAATGGGATGTTGAGGTCATGATGTAGGGTTATGTTGGTTATATAGAAAGGATCATCAACTATTGTTCAAAGGACTTTTGACTGGAAGGGTTGGATGCGCTTGATGTTAGAAAATTTTGCTATTCCCCACAGCTCTAGTCCGTTTCAGGTTTCAGTATTGTCTTGTAGATCAGTAGCTTGTTTTCAATGGAAAGTTTAGATTTTCTGTTTAGTAGTCAGTATAGTTGGCCGTATCGTCGGTTTAGTTCCTGTCTTTTAAGTCTAGTATGAGGGTTCCAGGTTAGTTGTCGGTCTAAGAGAAAGCCAAGGTACCGGAATGTATCTGAGAAAGGAAGCTGGATGGTGTTAAAATAAACTGGTGGACAGGATTTACGACAAAGGGTGAAGGTTATGTGTTTACATTTTGATTCGTTTGTCTTAATGCGCCATTTCTTACATCAGTGTTCAATCAGGGAGAGGTGCATTTGTAGGTTTAATGACGCTGTTTTAGGATCTGAGTTGGTTGAAAGGATAGTGGTATCATCAGCGAATGTTGCCAGGAGGGTATCAGGATGGGCAGGAATATCTGCGGTGAAAAGAATGTAAAGGATGGGACCCAAGACACTGACCTGCGGAACTCCCGCCTCAATTAAATGACAGTTGGAGAATTCAGTACCACAGCGAACTTGAAAGGAGCAGTCAGAGAGGTAGGAACGGAGTATTAGATATAACGATTGTGGTAGATAGAATTTAAGCTTGGAGAGCAGTCCAGCGTGCCATACCCAGTCAAAAGCCTGTGCTATGTCCAGAAATGCACCTGAACAGTATTGCTTCTTTTCTAGGGCTGAGGATATATGGTCGACAACTAGCAGTCCTTGTTTGACAGTGGAATGTTGGGAACAATATCCGAATTGATGGTTAGGAATTTTATGGGATTCTATTATGGGTAGAATTCTTTTCAGTAGGATCTTTTCAAAAATTTTTGATTGGATTGGGAGTAGGCTATATGATGATGTATTGTTGGCAGGTTTGCCTGGTTTCAGGAAAAAGACGATGGTGGAATGTTTCCACAGGAGAGGAAGGTGGGTAGTTCTTAAGATGCAATTATAAATATATGTAAGGAATATAGTAGCTTTGGGTGGAAGTTGTCGAAGGATTTGTGGGGTTAGGAGGTCGTATCCAGGAGATTTATGGAGAGGAAGTTTTTGTAAGTGATGTTTGACCTCAGATGGATTAACTGCTTTAGGTGGTAAGGAGAGTGGAATCGATGAAAAAAAAAACCCTGAAGGTTCTTGGTTTCAATACTATGTAGGAAAGTACTGTTTCTTGGCCAATGGATGTGCAAGGAGGCGATTTGACTGAGATCACACTCACCCGTCAGGTTTATCCTCATAATTAATTATTTAATTAAGGGTACCCACTTTATAGAGGCTGTGTGTACCCCAAGAGGGTCCCCCGTACCTCAGCGTCAATCCACGGCGGATGAAACAGATTATATAATTTACCTGCAATCAGCCGGACTTGAACCTGGGACCATGAGAACTAGAAGTGCTCTACCAGTGCTACCCCACTCCCCAAAAAATATATCTAAAAAAAACTCTACAGTCATTCCTGTAAAAAAAGACCTACAGTCATTCCTTCCTATGCTCTTGTATTCTTCCAAATCTTGGAACTAGCGATCTGATCCAATCCAATGCAAATGCTTGAAAGAATTATGAGACACACAGAGAAAAAAGGAGACAAGAAGGAAGAACTCCATCTCCTGAGAGGATGATGTACAAGACGTGAGGAATGGATTAGAGCAGAAGAGAGCTATGATAGGATGGAGATACTAACTCCAGAACATAGAGATTACACCTGAGGAGGAGTCTGATGATGTTGATTAGAGATCAAGAATTTTTATTGAAATTAAGTCCATGTTTCCTTCATTGAATTTATGTTTGATCAAGCTTTCTTTTATAAAATATAAACCACTTTTTTAAATTTTCAAAAAATTTATGAATCTTCTTCAAAATTCTGATAAGTATACATTCAAAATTTTTAGTACAATTTCAATAAATTCAGTTCAATAGCTTAAAAAAAACTAATATGATATGACATGGTTGGGGCAATACATGATAACCAGTATAATACTAATCCTGTGAGAAGTATATTTAATGATTATTAAATAACAAATGGCTATTTTTCCATTAGTACTCAATGCACTGTGGGCAGGGTGTCCAAGCGGGCTAATGCGTGCCCCGGCAACCTGATAACCAAAGTTATAAATGGAAAAATAGTTACAAGTTTGTGTTCCGGTGGCGGAGAGTCTTTTAAGTCTGGAATTAATCCTCTGGTCCGGAAAAACCCTGTATAGCCTAAAAGGCGAGGAAGGAGTGGACAAAAAAAGTACTTAATGCACTTTTGATGCAATCATATTTAAATATTTGTAGATAACAAGCTCTTGAATACAAAGTACAACACATGGTAACTATTTATTAGCTTATCTTGATTATATTTCAAATTAGTACATTAAATTAGAACCAAACCAGGGAAAGAATCATTTCGATAAAATTATAATAATTTTATATATCAGATAAATAGATAACAACATATACCTTGCAGATAGGGCACAGTGCAAATGAGAATGTAATCCTTGGCCCAGCCCATCTCTTTGTCAAAACATTTCGGCAGCAGTGTAAGTGAAATACATGCCCACATTTTAACTGAAATAAAAAAATTAACACAATTATATTAATATACTGAAAATTAACAGATAAAAGATTAAGTAGATAGATACATTTTTCAGTTTTAAATATAATAAATTTTAGAAGAGGTATACTTTTAACCGAACAACTACTCTCTTTGAAAATTATGCAACGGAAGTAATGATCATGATTTGGAAACTATATCTAATAGCCACAGATTTTGGGTAAAGGTCAGAGAACACCCAGTTCAGGATAATATGAGATCATTCCCTTCCCAGATAAGCTAATATTTATTTTGTGGCAGTCCTAAGAAATTAATATTATAAATAACACTTCTCCCAGTATTCCAGTATTGAGACTATTATAGGATATAGTTTTATTCTGCAGATTTTGCCCTTTTAATGAAATGATTATTTTCTTATCATTGATTTTTTTATTAAAAAATTTATAACCTGACTCAGAAATACTTTCTTATTATAAAAACTTCAGCGTTTCTTCAAATTCTTCCAAAACTTATAATTCAAGAGTGCAGAAGTATAAAGATTTAAAATATGTAACTGAACAGGTCATAAAATTTGATGAATTATTTGGCAACACTGTCATTTTAAAATTAAATATCTATTCTTTTTCAAATATCTTATATGCTTCATATCTCCAAGATTGTGACCTATAGAAGAATAGGCAGCAGGATGTTTTGTTAAATGAGCAATCCTTGGAGAAGTTTTGCCTTATATTATTCTTTTCAAGTATTTATAGTAATCAATTATGATTCAATTGATTATAAAATCATAAAAGATAATTGTGGGTGATAAATATTCAGAATGAAGTCATTATAAGGTTTTTATTAGTGCTGACGTTTCAACCCAAACAAGTGGGTCATCATCAGGGCGGGGTTCGAGCACTGAAGATATTCAAGTGAGATATCACTGAAGATATCTAAAAGATAATTATATAGTTTGGCACCTTAAAAAGATTTTACACTTTTGTTAATGTGACCTCATGGAATGTAGTTCCTTTCCTGTCAGAAGGAAATCTATTTCTTTACATTTTAATATATTTTTGTGAGCGAATATTTTGAGACAGTTTAAATTGATAAATCATTTTCTTGGTAAAAATATTAATTATGTCGAACCGCTTAATTAAATTTTCTTTGTATCAAGGTTTATACACAAAAGCAATATCAATGACATGTCAAGAATTAGTTTTATCAATGATCGAAACCCTATAGGAAAATTCTTTTTTATTTATGATAAATTACTTAATTGATTGATGAGACATTGAATTAACAACCGAAGAATCTTGCAATCCCCTAAGATTATGTTGACTCTAAAACATGGATTTTCAACTGTTAATGTACTAAAGAGCAAAAGAATCTGTAATTACTAGGAACAACATTTAAGTACTGATTATTCATAAACTGTAAAAAAAAAAAAATCCAAAACAATAATATGTTATTATAGAAAAGAAAATTGAAAATAATGTTGACTAGATTTAATTTAATTACATATGATAAATTTTTATGCTGTCACTGACCTGGATGGCAGGAGCAGAGGAGAGGGCTTCAGTGAAACAAATCATACACATGTCATCGGCATCTTGCTTAAGCTTAGTGTCTCCTGAACAACCATGAAGGCAAGGCAAGCACTCAACTTCACCCTGTATTCCTCCACACATATGGCCACAAGAATGTACTTTGCTGCATGCATTTCTTGAATGTTCCTAAATGAATTCAAAGTTACAATTAAAATAAACTCACTAAAAAATATGTAACTAAGAGTAGATGTTTCAAAAGTGTGAATAAAAACAACTTAGACTGCCTATCAAAATTTTATAATTTATTGTACATTAGTATTGTGTTAAAAAAAAAAATCTACTTATTTTTCACCAATATTATTACCTTTTCCCTGTTTTTGAAAACCGGGTAAGTTATTGCTTATAAGGATAAAAAAAAAGTGTGATGTGATGTTCACCATATTTGCTAGGTGATTCATTACTAATTTATTCATATTTACACATTTGTTTCCTTTTTTGAATGAGAAAAACATCACAAAGCCCATCATCCTTCATGTCAATGAATATAACAGCCAAATCATATGAGTGATTTGTACCAAAAAGAAAATATATATTAATTGCCCTTCATCCCCGAACAATATGAATTTCAAACCAAAGCAATCACTGAGGTGTATGTGTATTTCTTCAAATCAAGCTAATTAAATAAATAAAGTTGCTGTGAGAAAAGTAAAATCCTAGACTAATTGATTACCAAAGACCTTGTGGAATAACTTTTACAAGTGTTATCTTAGGATCTCTGGCCAGATATTTTAAAAACAGATTCAAAGGTTTTGGCCTATATCTATGGAATTATTTGGTGATTGATTTTTTAAAAATATTTGGGAAATTCCAATTAAAATAACAAAGGGTATGACCCTGAGTGCCTAAAACTGCTATTTCAGACTGCCAAAAACTGACACATACCGATATTTTTACATCTTTATGTTTTAATATAAAAAATTCAATGAAAGACCAAGTTTTATATATACATTTCGAGAAAAGAGATCCTTGCTGAATCGAAGGAATCGGAAGTGTTACCCAAATACCGAGGCAATTTAAAATAGGACATAAAAAAATTCAAAACTCAAAATTAAGTGTGCCCAAAACTGGATTTTAATCTAGTTTAGATTATTTCATTAAAAAAAAAAAATCAATTTAAAAAGCAATAATTTATTTATCCAACGAATTTTTTTTTTTAAATTTAAATGTTGCACCTAAGTTAATCAATTATTGCATATTAAAGTCCAATAAAATATACATCAAATACGCAGATTAATTTATGTGGTTTGAAGTGAATTTTTAAAACTTATATTGCAAAATGTTCTTACAAATGTACAAAGAGTTACCTGGCAATCATGGTCTGCACAAACATTTCCTATTGATAAAAGACCTGATGAACCAGAAGCACCACAGAACCTGCACACTCCAGCAGCAAGTCCTGAATTCTGAGTTCTTGTACCTTCTCTGAATTCCACAAGTGCTTTTAAAGTACTAGAATCAGCCAGAAGTAAGGCCCAGAACAGTTTTGTGCGGCCACAACCTTCATGTAGATCAACTTTTATGGCTTCTTCTTCTTCTTTGCATACCTAAAATTTGAAATAGTATCAATATTTCATAAAATACCTATTCAATTCAAAGTCATAATACAACATATATAGAAGAAATGGAATTTGACCTGTCTTTGGTGCATTCGTGTTCTTCTATGTAAATGAAGGTATCTGTCACATTCAGCACACAAACTACCGCACACACTGCATTGGATGATAGCATTAGTTTCCCCATCATCATGATTGCTGCATGTTGGCTGAAAAATAAACTTTTTCACTTAAAAGGCATTGGTTTCTCATCTAACACTCCTTATTAAATAATACTCCAATTGCCAACAGCTGTGTTTGGAGTTTCAGATGTTGGTCAAGTTACATATTAAAATAGCTTTGTAATATAATGAACTGACAAATGATCTGCATCTCACCAAAATAGTTAATTATTATTTTATATGAAAAATCAAGATACAATATATTTGAATAAAAAGTTAAGAGAGAAAAAAATCAAATATATTAAACTTGTAAAAATAATATTTCAATCTACAACATTTATTCCTCCATAAATATATAAATAAATATGATAGTAAAAAGAAAATATCCTTAATTGAAGTATTTAAATTTAATAAGTTATTATACTCTAGGAGGTGGTGGTTTTCCATCTGAAGCATTTCTCCATTGTCCAGAAGAAAGCCTCTCAACATGGTCTCTGTCCAAGACACATAGTGAAGCAAGAGCAAGCCAAAGAGTTGGAGAATGGAGGCAATCATGAGTTCCTCGCTGTGATTCGTTCAAGCGGGTAACATTCAAAATATTTTCAGCGATTGCACCCTTAGTAACTCTAGCCCAATCTTCAGATAGTTTTCCCTGCAAATAAATTATGATTAACTATAAACAGAATAGAATTTAATTATTTCTAGGTTATTTTAAAATAAATTAAATTAAAATTAATGTGACCTCTGAAATAAAGTGCTCAATCAAGTTAAATTTATGGAGGTAGGATGTAAAAAAATTATCAACTTAAAAAAAATACCAGGAAAACTATAGTTATAATTCCAAAAGGCTAATATATAATTTAAAAAATATATTAAGCAGATCCTTTTCCCTGTTGTATCACCAATTTGAATCAATTTTATAGTTGGTAAAACTGCTAACTACGATTCAATTTTATAATTTCTTTAAGAAATCCTAGGGATAACAGGTAAAGGGATAGTTTAAAGTATTAATATATTTTAGCATTCAGATGAAGATTAGTGAAGATAAAGCTATAATTATTTCAATATAAAATCAATGCCTCTTCCATCTTAGAACAATATAGTCTATACAAATTTGAATTACCGATGCCATATCTCTGATAAGAGCAATAATTTCTTCAGCTAGTTTTCGAGAAATACATCCTCTGAGCCACCAACGAGAACCAACATTATCTCGTGGATGAATACAAGTTGCGAGAGATATGGAAGATACACCTTTAGATTCTTTTCCTTTTGTTTTTACTTGTACTGTCAGTGCCTTTGCGATGCAACTTAAAAACACATCAAGTATTCCCATCCTAAAACAATTAAATCAAATATATTACTATGAACTTCGAAATCGGTAAATAAATATTTAAATGGTACAAATTTATTGTAATATTACCTATGAAAATCAAATGTAGCACTATCCTGTGATCTGCTTGCAGCTGCTGCGATGCTGAAGTCAGCAGGTGGCAACTGCTTTACTCCTACTATATGAGCCAGAGTTGAAGGTGTCACTTCTGCTAACATTCTTCTCAAAAGGGCAGTAACCTATTCAGTTAATACAATTTCAGAACAAGTCTTTGGTAGAGCTTATGACAAGCATGTGGGAGAAAAGTGGGACAACATTGAAACACACAAAAGCTATTCCAATTAATAAAAAATTTATTATTTTTCACCATCAAATCATTATAAAATAAAAGTTCAATGAAAAGTTAAATAAAAATTTGTAAATAATAATTTTAATCAGCAATCAAAGTAATACAAATCAGTTGCATAAAATTAGAGTTTACTACTTAATGAAAAATTTATTATACTGAAATGTTTCCATAATTGTAAATTAAACAAATTTAAATACATTCCACTTCAGATTTCTAAGAATAGAAAACAGCAATTGGAGAGAGAAATAAAAGGAAGTTCTTTGATATCCTCAAAGAGCACAAGGGATACTTTAAGCTAAGGATCAACTTTATAAAGAATGACAATTGCGAGCTGCTGGGGACCCATTGGATGTTGTTAATAAGTGGTCTCAATATTTTGAGAAGCTCCTTAACCCAGAAACACCTGAGGAACTCGTTTCAAGCCCAACTAGGTGAATCAGATCTATGCATATAAATAGAGATGTTATAGAACCGCCAGAGAAGGAAGAGGCTGCAGAAGTTCTTGCATCCCTAAAAAATTATAAAGCTTCAGGAGAAGATAAGATTCCTGCAGAGCTGTGGAAACATGGAGGAGACGCATTGACTGTGGAAATGTACCATCTGGTTTTTGACAGCTGGATGTCAGACGAGATGCCAAAAGAATGGTCCACTGCAGTAATATGCCCAGTTTATAAGAAGCGGGACAAAATGCAATGTGATAATTTTAGGAAGTAGAGAGGCATTGTGTTGCTAAACATAACATACAAAGTTTTCTCCATTTTGTTGATGAGTAGGGTACGCCAGTACTCTGAGAGAGAGGTTGGGGAATACCAGTGTGGATTCAAAAGGGGTAAATCCACTATTGACCATATTATAATCCTAGGGGGACCATCTATAATCGATTGACACAGCATCTTGCTTTTGCAGATGACGTCATTACTGGTCAAAAACAAACATCTTTGCTAGGAGCTTTCGAGGAATGTGAACAGGCCTCAAAAAAGGTGGGACTTAACATTAATGAAGCCAAAACTAGGTATATGAAGACCTTCCGATGTGATTCTGGGGCAAGGAATGATCTTAGGACTGGAGAGTACTTTTTCGAGCAGGTAGAGGAGTTTAAATACCTTGGGTTCAACATTAACTAAAAGAATGATATGCAGGCAGAAATAAAGTGGCGCATGATGACCGGAAGTAGATGTTGCTAAGTGCTCGGAAAAGTACATAGGACAAAGGTGTTGCCCTGGAGGTTAAAGAATGCCATATATGCTAGTGTTATAAGACACATGTAAGTGAGACATGTATCCTCACCAGCAAGTCAGAACAAGTGCTCAATGTGTGGGAGAGGAAAGTTCTGAGAAAGATTTTTGGTTCCTTGAGGAAGGGAGATCGATGGAGGCAGAGAAACAATCAGGAGCTCCGTGATTTATACAAGGCCCTGGATATTGTCATCTGCATCAAGAAGAGTAGAATTAATGCCTGGGGCATTTACAGAGGATGAAAGAGCGGAGTATCTCGAAGAAGCTTCTTGAGGAATACCCTGGTGGAGGACGAAGAAGAGGGCATCTCAGATTGGGGTGGCTGGAAGACCTGAAGACACTAGGAGTCCAAAGGTGAAGAAGAGCGGCTTTAGACAGGGACAAATGGTAGAGAATTGTGGAGGAGGCTAAGGTTTTGCAAGGACCGTTGTGCCATTGAAAGAAAGAAAGAACAAAACAGCAATATTGAATCAAAATAAAAGCACATTAACTCAAAAAGAGACCACAATTAATTGTCAGAAAATAATTGGAAAATTACAACCAAAATAGCTCGTCTTTAAAGTACCACTGAATGAACAACTGCTTCTGGTGATTTGCTTACCAGCAGGCTCAGTATTTGCAATCTCATAATTATATCGTAACAATTTGATGTTATTAAATTTTACAATATTGTAAACTAAACAATTTCTTTTATGAAACTAGGCAGACATATATGAGGCATTTTGGTAGATCTTGTTAGAAGTGTCTCCTGGATTATTGGATTCAATCAGACAAAGTTTATAATTTAAAGTCAATCACCTTCTACCACAACCATTAACAAAGAAACAAAACTACCTTATTGAGCTGAACCCAAGACCCTCCATGGGTTGTAGTGGAAAATGATTGTGATTATATTATTATCAAGATAACAAATTTGTTTGCAATGACTTGCCTGTCTCTGAACTCTAGCTGAACCAGTGTGTAACAAGGAAAGTAGATCTGACATCAGAGCATGCTGGTGCGCCAGGTAAGACCTCCCAACTGCAGAACCACTAAGGGCAAGGACCATTGACAACATTTCAAAACAATATGTGTCAGGAGCTTCAGGCCCACTCAATGCAGAACACAATCTACTTTCCCATTCTTCTCTCATCACAGCAGCTTCTTTTCTAATAGCTTGAACAATGTGCACACAAACCTAGAAAAAAAAAATAGAATAGTGATTGAAATAAATTTAGTGGCTATTTTAAATGTATTAAAACAGATATTCTGAGGTAACAGATTTGAAAGCAGTTTTTCTTTACATTTACAAAAGTAAATTTCCAACACTATTTTTTAAAAGATAAATATTTTGTTGATTGCTGAAAATGATGTTGAAGATATCAATAAATTAAATCAGAATAATTTTCTAAAATTATTAGCATCCAGATATAAAATAATTTAAATTTATTGCAAATTTAAAGTACCTGTTTTTGGAGATGCGTCAACTTGCTCCTGCTAAATAGTATACCAACCATATGTTCCTTAAGGTCATTACTTTCATCTATCACTTCACCTTCTGTAAAATTTTCAGCTTCTTCTTTTTCCCCAGTAATGAGTTTTCCAAAAACCTATAAATACATTAGTGGGATGGTCAATCTTAATACTTTCTTTAAAATATTTGAATTATTAAATAAGAACTTACCTGGGAAGTAATAAGTCTAAATACTCTAAGTGTTTCAGCTTCGGTATTTCTTTGTTGGATTGCTGAAGCTGAATACTGCCTCTTAAGTTTGATTGATTCACCATCTAACCGACCAAGTACACGCACCTGCCTTATTCTCATTGAATTATCTCCTCCCTTAAGTTCCAATCTGATAACTGAGTGGCTAATCTCTGAAAATAATTTCATGATTAAGGATTTATAGCTAATAAACTATATTTTAGCTAATAAATATTAGCCTTCAATTAATCTCTTCAAAGAATAGAAAAGTCTACCATTATTCTACAGGTATAATCAATCAATCTATTTTAAGCAAAGTGGAGAGGTCGGGATTCATTTTGTGGGTCAGTCACAAAATATAATTCAGCCCACCCAGACTGGATTCAAACAAGCTCTATTAGCCTCACACTCTTGGTCATCACTGTTTCCATAATTCTGAATTATTTAGATATCATATTCTCTTGAAATTGAAACACTATAGTGCTTAACTACTTCTGAAATGAAATGTGTTGGTCAATATTATGATGTTCAAGAATTTTCTTTGCAAAGCTATTAAGTTTTGCTCACTTCCTGCTCTCAATGTTTCTCAGCATTATTAAGAAAATAGGAGTAAAATTTAAAAATAATGTAGTCCTTGTAACATGTTCGTCCTACATGTATTACATTAGTGTTTGGAATCAAGTCTGACCATTTATCATCCATGAGAAGTGAGTATAGATTTTTTGTGATAAATACAAATACAATTATTGAGTATGATAAAGTTATCAGTTGCGTTTATCAGCAGTTTCATAAAGATTTTGTTATTTATATCAAATACTTATATAAAACTAAGCATTTGAAAAAGAGAGCAAAGAGACATAATTGAGTAAATTATAAAAAAAATTTTAATATACATAGATAGAAAAAAAACTTTATTTCGATCCAGGTTCTTTGAAAATAAAATTTATATATACAACAGAAAACATAAATGGCCAAAAGACTGCTGTTGTTTCTTGGGTTGGACAGTGATTAATTTTTTTTTAAAATAATAAAATACACAATAGGAATAATATTTTTTTTTAATTTAAAATTTATACATTTGAAAGAATTATATGGTACTTATTTACTTCCAATTAAATTGTTAGTATTAAATTAAGATGACAGGAAGAGCATCTGCATCTGTTTCAGATGTCAGATGGTGTTGAAAAAAGAGTGATTTGAATAATACAATGAAGGAAATTCCAGAGGGTAGAGGAGGAGGCTAAAAAGGACCATTTGAATGTTTTAGTTCTGTGGTTCTGTGTTAATGGGTATAGAGATTATAAAGACAATCCATATTAGAACATATAATGAATTCTAGTAACAAAAATGATAACTTATTCTGAAAGGGAGGAACCGATTATTTTATGTAAAAATAATCAAGTTTACCTAAAATGGAGCAACTTATCCATCCAGTTGCTCTGCTTTCTACTTCTACTGTCCGTAATTTGAATAATTCATCTGAATTCGGACCAGATTGGAATGTAACACTTGAAACTTTGTTCTGAAAATAATTAAAAATGATTAGCTTACACAAATAATGAAAAATAAAGCTTTAATAAAATTCAAATTCATTGAGATCACCCCAAGATCACGACAGTTGTCGATGTGGATATACACAATAGTGGGAAATGATCCTGGAGGACAAGTAATGGTTAAACTCTTTGTTTTGTTTCTATCTTCATCGCCTGATTCCCAAAATGTTTCAGTAGAATTATCAGTAAGACTTCCTACCATGGCTTGTCTTGATGAAGCTTTTATTTCGATCATGTTAGTCAAATCACTTAAAGCCTCTACATAGCTTGCGGTCTACAAAAATAAAATTATACATTTTTAATAAGAAACAGTTCATTACAAAGTTGTATTAGATTCATTAAGAAATCATTCTTATCATAAAATTTTTTCATCTATCTTTCAAAAATAGAAAAAAATGTATAGGGTAAAAACTAATTGTAATATTTAATAAAAAATGTTAATCGTAATATTTCAATAATACATTATTAAAAATACCTGTGAAACTGATGACAAATGACTTTCTAGCATACTTATATTTTCATCTTGCTCTTCCTCTGAGCGAGATAGTATTTTGCTTATATTACTGAAAACGTGACTCCTAAAATTACAAATAAGTTTTAGTTTATGACCAAAGAAGAGTTTAGAACTTAGGTACATCATGGAAAACGAACCTGTGCAGAAAACTGTGATCGGACTGAGTAAAATTTATGCCCCAGCAACGTACAGCCATTTGTTGAAGAGCAGATCCCATAGGCAATAGAAGCATGAGGTCAGCTATAGACTGGAGGAGAGAGTGGAATGTGGAAGGTAATGGATGTACTGCATCACCAGCCAAACCCATGTCATTTAAGGGGTGTTCACAAACACCAAGTAAATCCTGCACAAAGTATTACATTTGTAATTATAGTTATGGGTGATAAATAGTCAGGATGCAGTCATTATAGAATTTTTTAAATTTTTTTATATACATCTTTACCAAAATTTTCTACATATATCATCCAAGATATTGTTAGCTAATAAAATAATTGGTAATGAAACTAAGCTATTCTCCTTGACTCTAGCAAACAGTTTCAATTTGAAAACATATCAATGAAAATACAACAAACATTTCACCCACCTAATATTTTGTATAAGTAAATATAAAAGGTATACTATGAATTTTATATTTTTTATGTAAATGCGTGTGTGTGAACAATTTAGCTCAATATCAAAAAGTCACACAAAACTGAAGTACAATATTTGTTTTTAGGAAACTTATATAAATACAAGGAATGCAACATCTTGTGGCATCAAGCCTCAAAAGTAGATAAGGAAAGGAAGGATGCTTAGTAATAAATTCTTATATTAAAAAAAATTTTAAATACCCAGAGGCTTACTCAGTTTTTACTGATGAAATGGTAACAATAAGAGCTCTTGAGTTCATAGAGACAACCGAAACCACCAATTCGGCCGTGGTAACAACTCGATGAGTTCATTACTAGTCATTGAAAATATCAGGCCAAAAAATACTCTAGCGAAAGAAGTAAGAAACTTTTGGTGGCTGTTAGGGGTGGTTACAAGGTAGAAGGGTAGAAAGGGAGAAGGGTAAAACAAATAAAATTCATCCGAGTCCCTTTGCATTGTGAGGTCACTGGCAATGAGCAGGCCGATCAAGCAGTCAATATGGCTGGAAAGATAGGCACAATTGTGGTGGAACCACTTAACAAAATTCCTTTAGAGGACTACATAAAAAAAAAATTAGAAGGATGTATGGCAAATTTGACAAATTAAGTGGGAGCAAAAGGATTCCAAACTAAGAGAAATTGGGAAGCTCTTATCGAATCTTAAGGAAAGAAGAAACAGCCCTCTGCAGATTAAGAATTGGACATTGTAAGTTCTCACATGCCTACCTACTAAAAGGATTCGACTCTCCGACTTGTGAGAACTGCCAAAAACTGTAAAACACATTTTACAAGACTACCCTACACTGAAAAATATCAGGAAAAATTTGGACATGCCACCAAACCAATTTTTTGGCAAAAAAAATTTAAAAGATAACAAATATGCTGTTAAAAAAACATTAGCATTCCTAAAAGCGGCGAAACTGTATAATAGAATTTAACTTGAAAGTGTTACCAAGGACCCTGAAGGGTAGAGGAAACAGAAAAAACAAAATAAATAAATAAAGTTTTACATTGATATACTAATCAAAATTGTTAGAGCCATTTTTTTATAAAATCTTAGGAATGTGTAAAATCTAATAATTTCTAAAAATTAATATTACTTAACGGAAACCAAATGTTTTCATGAGAACTAAATGAAATTCCCTAACTAAATGAAAATTTAAATTTGAAAAAAAAGTATATATGATCCACTGATTTAGTGAATAATCAAGGCAATGAAATTGTTTAAAAACTAAATTTATTATACTTGTTAAAGTAGAAGTCAAATACAAAAATATTTCATGGTTAGGCAAAACATATTTTTATAATCTTAAATACATTTACTGAAGTTTAATAACTTTAGATCAGATAATATATTTAAATAATTAGATAAATATCATTGATTTCAATATTACAAAATATCTTTAAGTAATATTTTAGAAAATTAAATTAGTGAATAATTTGATGAATTCCCTCTCTGTGAAATCATAACATTATCCAATTACAATTAGTGTGATGACTATTGACCTATCGGAAAATTAATTAAAAAGTGACAACTTTGAATTAATCCTTAAGGTTACATATTACATATTTAAACAATTATATACTTTCATATCAATATTTTATTCTTAAATTGAAATTTCAAGATTGGGGGGTATATGTTTTGGAAGTAAAAAGATAATGGAAAAGAAAGGATTTGAATGAGGATAAGAAAGATGCATTGTACATAGCAGATGATAAAGAATCCCAGAAGCCAAAGGAGTGGGCAAGAAAGGAATATTCAAAGGTTTTCATCCTAAGGGAAGATATATAGAGGACAGAAACAAAGGGCCTTATTTTCTGTGAGTGGATGGACCTAGGTTTGAATTGCAGGACATTGTCGAAGTAGGAAGCATGCTGGGAGTTAATAGTTTGCTATATGAAAGATCTGAGGGAATATTGTGGACGCGAGGAGGAGAAGAGTCACTTTAACTCACCATAAAAGTGGATCATGTGAGACCACCTCTAGGTACCATCGATAAACCTTAGAGCGTGATTTTATAATAAATATATTGTGTAATAAATAATCCTTGATTTTGTACCATAATCATATTTTAACAACAAACAGGAATGAAATCATCCACCCATTTTTAACATTATCTAAACAGTTTTATCTGTATTTGTTTTAAACTTTAATAATTTTATGTTAAACAGTACTTTCTAACTAACAAGAGGAGTCTACAGTCAGTGGATTACTGATTCCAACCAAATTTTTTTCTGTGATACATCGAAAAATATTGACCACATGTTCAGGTGCTCATTCCAAAAGGCCCTAGAAGCCGAGAAATAAATATGATTTTAAAGAAAATTTATGTTATTTATTTTTTATTTGAGGTTAGGTCTATACCACTTCATGTATTATATAGAGCCCTAAACCCCTAATAATTTTCGAGTAAATCTGCGGAGCCGTCATGAACTTATGAAAATTTTTGTGATTGTCGACCAAATTTTGAAGGGCCCACTCTAGGCAAAAATTTTGTGCAAAAAAGTTCAGGCAAAGCAAAGAAAAAAATAAATAACATACATTTTGTTTAAAATCATATGAAATATTTTTTTCTCGGCTTCTAGGGCTCATTGGAATGAACACACCGGGATATATGTTCAATAATTTTCAATGAAGTATGGTAGAAAAAAATTTGGTTGATATTGATGACCCATTAAGTACGTAATTCTCAGTACATAATTATTAAGTAAGTAGATTCCGCTAGTAAGTACTGAATCCAATACATGTGTTGTACAACAGGTTTTTTTTTTATCTGTACTTTTTAATAATAAAATTGTTTACATGATCTTCACGTTTAATTTCATGTTCTTCCTTAGGTTGTTCTGGATCTAACTCCTGAGGGTTTGGAGAAGGTGTCAAAGCAAATACAAACCACCATAGCAGATCATGAAGGCAAGCGGCTTGAGTAACTGTATGTAACAACCAATCCAAAGCCTGAAATAAAAACAATTTTAAAAATTATAATTTCATCAGAGAAAAGGAATATATGCTATTAAACAGTATTTATGTATTAAAAAAAAAAATGTCAATAAAAATATTTGAATATTGCCAGATATAATTTTGAGAGGAGAACGAAAAAATAAAGCATCTCCTTAACTCTCAACAATAAGTCTAATTTAGAACCTAATAATAATAATTTGCCTCATTAAATCACTACTTTACTAATAGGTAATAAAGCAGTAAATTTTTTATCTATTCATGGATATGGCACAACCCCAGAAAAGGGAGGTCAAAGTTTCATCAAAATCGAAACATTATTAGTAGAGACTAATAATTTTGCATATAAACTTTTCATATTATCGCACATTTTATTTGCTTGGGTGCAAAATCTCTAAATCCAACTATCTATCCATTTCATGATAAGTAGAATAACATATTGAATTATGATAATTCACGAAATTGCATATTTTGATCTTTTCGCATTAAATTGCACGATGTTGATTTTTGTTACATTAAATTGCACATTTTAATTTTTTTAGGCTAGATTTGGTGATTTATAAGCATATATTTAAATATTTACCTTTTTATTTTACTATATCGTCTATATTAAATTTATACTATAAGATAAAAAAATATGAGCAGAGAAACAATTTTGTGACTAGCAAATGTTCGAATTTAACGTTATAAAAGGAAGAAGTATTCACAAGTGGGAAATATTCTTAGAAGAGTAGTTGCCAAATCCTAATATACTGGATAAAAATAAAAAATTGCCTTTCTAGAATAAGCAGTTTTGTAAGAAAGACATTTATTGTTATTGTTTTGATTTGAATTCTCATACATTCTTCAACCCTTCAGTATCCCTTCTGCCTTTTAAGTGAATTGTAGTCATTTTATTATCATTTAGAAAAAAAATTGTTTAAAATATGAATATTAAAATTTGATGGGAAACTTATCTTTTGAAGTTCCTGTGAAAAATCATTCAGTTGTAAACACCATCAACAATTTGAATGCTAAAAAATCTCAGTTCAGAAACTTAATACAAGGTTTGATAATATTTTGATATATTAATATAATAACTTAAACAAAATATTTGATTTTTGCACATTTTTAGGTGTTAATTAACAATTTTATAATATTTTGGATTTTTACAGCACGATTTTACACATTTTGAGTTTTTGCTACACCTTTTTTAGAGTTTTACTGCACGAAGATCCAGTCTTTAATTATTAGCAGAAATACAGCTATATTCATTTAGCTGGTGCAATGGCTACTACTTATGTCGTATGACCACTTTAAGAACAGTTATAATTTTATGATTATGGACTCTATTGAAAGACTTTGTACTCAATCTAATAATATATCAGAGCCATTAGTCAGCAACTTGTAGAAAATAGTTGGATCTTTCAAGGAAAATAATGCTATGCTTGATAAATGCATAGGTGATTAATTTATCTTTAAAACATCTTTGTGTTTTCACTTTTTAAAATATTCTCTTTAACAATTCAATAACTTTTTGTCCACATTTCATACAGATTTTGGATATACTATGGTTGTTAATGTGATTTTGAAACCCTTGTAATGTTATAGCAGCTGAATCATTAGTATCTTCGACAATGACATTGTGTGAGCTGCTGACGATCACTTTTATTAGAAAACTCGTTGATTGCTATGAATTATTAAATTTGTTTGTAAATTGTTTCTATTTTGAATTTAAATTCGAGCTGGTTAAAACATGTGTACAGCACCGTGCATTGCCTGGCAGATAGAAGATAATGTGATAAAATAATACTGTGTTCGCATCCCAGTGTCATGTGGGGCTTTTAACTCAGACATTAATTCCCCGCCCTCACTCCCTGGCCCGGGAAACCCCTGTATACCCTAAAAGGCGAGAAAGGAGAGAAAAAGAAATAAAAAGGCTACTATTCATCTCTTGATTTCTGCACCAATGTCATTCATCTGTGATCCAATGTCTGAACTCCTCAATGTTTTCAATTACCTGGCCTTCTTTTATTAAATTTGTTAGCTGACAAGACCCTGTGGGATTCACATTGAGATATTTGGTTTTACTGAAGTTTATCAGTAGCTCCATTTCAGCTGCAGCATTATTTAGTGCTATAATGCATCCTTAACAGCCTCTAATGACCGTCATTTGGATGACAATGTCATCAGCATGTCCGAGGAGTTGGACGAGATGATTTATTAAGGTGCCAGATGTCTGGATCTTAGTATTTATTATGGCCTTCTCAAGTCCCAAATTAAAAACCAGACATGCCAGCCCATCTCCCGGTTGTACACCCATATCTGTAGAAAATTTGGCATAGATCCTTCCAAAAATCCTTAAGAACGAAGCATTACTCTCCATCGTTATCCTTGTGAGGCATACTCGCTTTGTAGGAAAATTCATTTCTGTCATCGTTTCATATATTTCTGATCGATTGACAGAGTCATAAGCCTGTTTAAATCCACAAATATGTGATGCATAGGTAATCTGTATTCTGTCTAATCTGTATTTTAGTTTTACTTTATCAATTCTAAAAAAGACAAATGAGTAAACACAGGAAGACAAAATATTTGTATTCTCTGTTAGATAACGTAAAGGAAACTTTTCTTTTACCTGCATTCCATATATTCTGCAAGTTGCTTTTCTAAGAGATTGTTTCATAGCCATGTGTAAACTTGGCAGATTGTGTTGCTGGAGAAGAAAGAGCATTACGGGACGAGACAGAAGATCAACTGTACTTCTGTCTACATCAGAACTAACTATAGCTGACTGACTCATGCTCGGAACCAATTTTTGAAGAGCAGCTGATGGGTAGCATAAAAGGGAAGATCCAGTTTCTAAAATTTTAAACTTTACATCAGTATTTCAAAATAATTTATCATTAAAATATTTATAGTAAGTTGTTTCAACAAAAACTTATTGATAGGATATTAACCTGTCATGATCACCCTGGCTTCAGTTTCTTTTTTATTCCAGGGAGCTCCATTTGTTCCCATAGAAACTGAACGATGAAAAAGCCTACCTTTTCCATTTTCACTGTCACTATCACTAGCTGGGCCCTCAGAAACTGGCTGTTTATGAAAGATATATGGAAAATATTAAATGAAAAATAATTTAATATGAATTATGAAATGCAGATGAAAAATTTAATAACATTACCCTTGATGTTGAAGTGCTATCAGAATCTTTTCTCCTCAGAATTACCTTAAATGAGAAAAAATCTTAAACATTCCTTATAAAGAAGACAATTTCTTTCTTGTAATTTATAATGTGTACCTCATACCTCATCTTGTGGGAAATGCACATCATCTCTAAGTGAAGATGGGTTAACACCTAGAGAAAGGAGACATTGAAATGGTCCTGGAGGAGGGAAACAGGAATTCATGTCGGGGGGTGTTTCCTTTTGAGAACTGATTCTTTTTGGAGATCCACTTGACAATTCCAACAGAAACATGGCATTGTTTTTCATAATTAAATGTGTCTCCATTGTAATAGGTGCTGTAAAATATACAATCCATAATGAATTTATAACTAATCTGATGATTGATTAATGAAATGGTTGTGAAAATAAAATTTCTAAAAGTTAACGCTATAATGTTAAGAATATACATTTAAAAATTTATGGGACATTTTGGAATAAGTGATTTAATTTTGACAAGTTTATTGGATTTTTTAAAAATAAAACATTACCACTGGATTATAAAGGGTGTCCTGGATAAGTATTGACAAAATAATAGCAACAATGCTATATAAATTTTTCCCAAATAAAGTTCCCAATATGGTTATTATCTCCCTCTCATTTTGCTTATTAACTGAATTTTGGTGATTTTCAAATCAGCTGTTGTTATTTTTTCTGTCGAATATCTTTTAGTGTTTGAAAAAAAAAAATTAAAAATTTATGTATTCATCCTTTGAAAGATCACAAAATTTTCATAAAGACTTATTTTCTAATTTGGTAGAAAGATTAATAATAATATGGCCTGATAATTGCATGTTATAAAGTTATAGAAACCAAAGAATTAAAGTTAAATGTTTGTCACTTAATCAACACGTTGTTTGAAAAACTGGAGAAATTAATAAGATTTAAAATGATATATGTTCAGCTAACTGTTCAAAGTTTATTGGAAATACAAATATATTTTAAAACTAGATAAAGGTTTGTTTTCAAAAATATATATATTTTTTCAACTTTTCTGTTATTTGACCTGAAAATTATATTATGATATTTGCTATTCGAAATGTGGCCTCATACAAGTGTCCCTAATACCAAACACTAATGAATTTCATGATAAGAAATTTATTGATGAATCAAAAAAAAAAAAACTTAATAAAAAATTAAAGGATATTAAGTATAAGGTTTCATGATGTATAACTTAAATCTTTTTCTCATTGTTTTAAGCAGAAAACAACTACTTACACTTGAACAATAAAATTTTTAGAAATACCTGAAGAACTTGCAAATTGATTTCTTTGACTAAAAGAAGAAGTGGCAAACATTAGACCTTATTTAAAAATCTAATTAACATGTAGGAATTTGAGAGTGATTAGAGAAGAAAACAAAATTACTTTTTTGGTTTTATAATCGCTATAAAATTCAAAATCATAAGAAGAAAATTTAATACTTAAATCATGTAGACAAAAATAAACTGACGTGCAAGTGCAGAAGCAGGAGATGGGATCTTTGTTAGTGTAGGGCCTGTCGCTGCCTTCTTTCTACTAGGTTTCTTAGCTGGGAGCGCAAACTGCTTCTTCGCTCTTAAGTATTTATCTCTGCAAGAATCACAAACAAGATACCAAGAACTACCACCTACTCCTCCATCTCCACAATTTCCTGCCCACCCAACACAAAAATTGCCACCAGAGTTGTAACCTTTACCTCCGGCATGGCCACCACAACCTTTGTTTAAAAATAAATTTACATTAGGATACTAATTAATGAAATTTAACCAAATCAAATCAATGTGATACAGTACACAACCATACCTGCATGAGCTTGTCTCATGTGGTAAGTAACAGGATGAGGAAACACACCCCCACACAGTTCACAGGATCCCATTCTCTCACTAGGACGGCTACTTCCTTTCCAATCCTTCTTCTTTCGGATTAATCTCTTACCCTCTCCATTTTTACAGCTTGAAGTTGGTGCACAAGGGCTTGGTAGTATATTATTTACAGTAAATGCCTAAACCAAATATTTATAAATTGAAGAATTAATATCATAATTCCAAAAAGGGTCATAATCAGTTATATTATAGTGCTTTAACACATTAGTTATTAGTTATTAACACATTATGGGAAGGAGGTAGCTCAGTGGGTAGAGAATTGACTTCCAAAGCTCAAGCTTCCGGGTTCGAATCAGGCTGATGTAGGTAATTATTTATTGTATTTCATTTGCTGTTGATCGACCTTAGGGCTAGGGGACCCTCTGGGATATAACCCAACCTCTATAAAGTGGGTATATACTCTTAATTAGGGAGGGTCTGGTTGAGTGTGATCTCTGCCAAATCACCTCCTGGCACAACAGTTGACCAAGAAACAGTACTTTCTTATATATATACATATATATATATATCTATTAGTATTTATTTGTATTAGAAGTTAGTATATATTTTTTCAAAACCAAAATTAGCTGGCTGGTGACAATAGGTATTGCTAACTTCAAATCTCCTGAATTTAAAATAAAAGTTAAATGTAATATACAGGAAATAATTAAGTTTTTTAAGGTAAGACATAAAACCAGAGTAAAGATACCTAACTTTACTGATTCTCGGAACATATATAAAAATATAAATTTAGAAGTTAATCTTTGCTGAGCAATAATTTTGGAATTTGTGCCAAATATTGATTAAATAAATGTAATAGAATATTTGTGGAGACTGAAATGCTAATAAGGTTTCCCAAGTTCGAAACTCTCAAAGTATTATAATTGTTATGAGAAGGAATTAATCGAGGGTGCGGTCAAAAAAAAAAAAAAAAAATTAAAATATATAAATAATTTTAATTTTTGCCGACGTTTCGACCCACTTTGCAGGTCGTCTTCAGGGCTACAAAAGATACAAACATGTTGAAAAAATAAAAATAAAATAAAAAATAAATATAAGTATATATAAATTACGAAGAAGTTGTCAGATACAGAAATAAAAGATAAAGAAAATAAATACATGATAAGAAAATAGATAAAAGAAAATAAATACATGAATGTTAACGACTAATGAATGTTAACGAATAAATTGATTGAAAATTGAATAACTATTGTTACAGTAAAGTTAAAATATGGATAAGATAACAAGTTTATATATACTTATATTTATTTTTTATTTTATTTTTATTTTTTCAACATGTTTGTATCTTTTGTAGCCCTGAAGACGACCTGCAAAGTGGGTCGAAACGTCGGCAAAAATTAAAATTATTTATATATTTTAATTTTTTTTTTTTTTTTTTTTTTTTGACCGCACCCTCGACTAATTCCTTCTCATATCATATCAACGGTCAACCAACTCTACATTATTATAATTGTTGTTGAATTAATTTGTATAATTTTCAATCAGTGATTTTATTTAAGTATCATTTTCATAGAATTTTAAGTACCATTTATTAGCATCAGAAGTGGTCTGTGAATTTTATCATAAAATATATTTTATGTATGTATGACTAAAATGTTAAAAATATTTGTGTTATAGCTTAATAATGTGTAAAAAAAAAAAAAAAAGACCTGTACCATAGCAACCTATAAAGTGTTTATATATATATATATATATATATATATATATAAACACTTTATATATATATATATATAAACACTTTATAGGTTGCTATGGTACAGGTCTTTTTTTTTTTTTTACACATTATTAAGCTATAACACAAATATTTTTAACATTTTAGTCATACATACATAAAATATATTTTATGATAAAATTCACAGACCACTTCTGATGCTAATAAATGGTACTTAAAATTCTATGAAAATGATACTTAAATAAAATCACTGATTGAAAATTATACAAATTAATTCAACAACAATTATAATACTTTGAGAGTTTCGAACTTGGGAAACCTTATTAGCATTTCAGTCTCCACAAATATTCTATTACATTTATTTAATCAATATTTGGCACAAATTCCAAAATTATTGCTCAGCAAAGATTAACTTCTAAATTTATATTTTTATATATGTTCCGAGAATCAGTAAAGTTAGGTATCTTTACTCTGGTTTTATGTCTTACCTTAAAAAACTTAATTATTTCCTGTATATTACATTTAACTTTTATTTTAAATTCAGGAGATTTGAAGTTAGCAATACCTAATGTCACCAGCCAGCTAATTTTGGTTTTGAAAAAATATATACTAACTTCTAATACAAATAAATACTAATAGCTCATTATTGAGAAAGCTGTCAGTTAAAATTATAACATAAGAAAATTGGCAGAGTGAAATAATAATGATAATTATTACTACAAAAAATTATTAGTATTAACAAGTATTAAGTATTATCAGTATTAACAACAATCCATAAAGAAATCCAATATTAGAATTACAATTTAATAACATAGATCAAATATAACTCAATTATTAATCTAGTATACAATTATCAAAAAATATATTTAAGTAATCAGTACCTGTAGACAGGTGATGGTAAGTTGTTCCCAGAGGTGGACAAGGCATTTTAAAGCTGGTGGTAAAACAGTGACTGTATGTTCTTGTTCTGGTTTTCCTTCTTCTCTAAGTTCCTCTCGAATTACACTTTGCTTACCCCTGTGTCTGTTAGCGTTGGCATTGGCAGCAGATCTAGTCAACGTTTCAAGTGTGGAAGGTTTTATATGCAGGTAGTTCCCTGCCATTGATACTTCTAAAGAATGTCTTTGGTCAACTGTTCTGGCTCTTTAAAAAGTAATTAAAAAATATTACATATGAATAATTAATCTAAATAATTCATATCAGATGGCATCAGGTGACAATCTTGTAACTTTATTTAGTGCGGTATGTATTTTTCCTATAATTTTTTTTTTATAATTTGAATGAAATCTTTTCTATATCAACTATTTGTTACTTAAAAATTTGCAGACATCCTCTAAATAGATAAGTTTAAAAATAATTGCTATAACTTTTAAAACACAGAGCTCGGTTATAGTTCTGTTAGCTATGAAATAAGATATCTGGATTAAATTATTAAATAAATCCGTTACGAGGTTATCATGCAAGGCCATCAATATGTAAATTCCTAAAGTCTTACCTGTCTGTATGTCTGGTAACTACAAGAGCTCCTTGTTTTGGAAGAGTAGGATGAAATTTTAAGAAGCTTGCACATGCCATAGCATCATGAACCAATCCTTCGTGCCACAATAAAGCAGCAAAAGTTGCTCTGATACTTTCAGCAACAGATGGGCTCATAGCTTCCTTTACTCCTCCCCTAAAACATTTATATTTTTATAAAAAAGAGTAATTTAAGTTTTTATAGAAAAAGAGTAAGACTTAGTGTGGGAAAGAGGAGAAATCGACAGCAAAGTCATTATATCACAGTCAGCCACAGGTACTCCAGTTGAGGTAACATTGCACTAACACACATACATTATACAACTTAAAACACTCTATCATGGTCAGATGTAGTACACACCATATGGTCACATGGTTACCTTCCATAGGTAGCCACCAAGGATACAGTACAAACTCTGCATGAATAAAGATAGCACCTCCTTAAGTATAATAGCATAGACACTGCGAGGCTTGATGGGCCTACTGGCAGCAAAACTTTTTACATTATGAAACTTTAAATAGCCGCTAATACAATCAATCAATTGAGAAAACAACTCCAATAGGAATCTTAACTTAGATCAATGGAATATATTATTTCTGCACCAACTGGAGCTTTCAAACTGCTCTAAGGCTAACTCAACAGGTTAATATAAAAAGCTGGATCCATGTTATGCTAAATATACATAGCATGGATTTGGAAAATCCAGTGGTCTACTTGAAAAGATATATATTCAGTATTAGTAGCAGCAAAATAATCTATAATAATGGATTTTGGATCTGGATTCATAGTTAGAAGAAGATATTAATAACTCATAGTTAGATATAAAGCAAACAGCCCTCCCATATGTTATCTCCAGATCTAAAGAGGATTGTATAATAACAGTCTTATCAGCATTCATGCCCCAACTAAAGTCTCACAAGACCAAAAGAAGGCTTCTATAATCTTCTAGAAAGAACAATGAACATTGATATCACAATTGACCAATGATCAAGAGACAAAGCCTGTATGGGATAGTAAAAAAAACTGCCCCACATCAAGCCATGAAAGGTCTTGGTGGCTTCAGTACTATGTAAGGAATTAATGTTTCTTAGTCAACAGTTGTGCAAGGATGAGATTTGACTGAGATCATGCTTAACTGCCAGGTTTTCTTCCTTAATTAATTAATTGATTAAGAGAACCCAATTTATAGAGGCTGGATGTGCCCCAGGAGGGTCTCCTGATCCCAGGGGTCGATTCACGGCTGATGAAATAAAATAAATAATTATCTTCCATCAGCCAGATTCTGACCCAGGATCTTGAGCTTTGGAAGTCAGTGCCCTACCCAATGAGTTACTCCGCTCTCCATGAGATAAGTAACGGGAATGGGCTTATCAATTTTGTTGCAGCACAACTCATGGTGATTTATGCTCACACAAGTATGTACATAAAAGAACCTGGATATTACCAGAAAGATCTACAGTCAATTACTTTAGTACTTTAGAGGTAGCCATTTTGAAAATTAGCCACTTAAGCCCTTTCAGATTAATTCAATGAGAATAAGATCTTACTGATAATAAAGAGCATTTAATTTTATTTTGATATAAATAGTTTCATTAAAATTTCACAGCTGTTTATGAGAAAATAGTAAAAAAAAAGTTTAAAATCCATGATATAAAGGGGCTCATTTAGTTAGTTGATTTTAACAACAAAATTTGCTGTAACATTCCAAGGATATATCAATTTCAATGTGCAATTTCTGTTTTATATGACTTTTCGTTTTTGAGTTGGACTGTTCATATAAACACAGACAGAGAATTATACAAGACTTGGTAATTTGGACTCTGGGGATCTTAAAACATGGGTAAGTGAAAGTACATACCTATGATCACGGATGCCCCTCTGAGCAGCAACAGGAGACATAGACCTTTTGGAATTTGTTCTAACTTTTCGGCTTGATTTAGGAGATTCCTCTCTGCTAATAGATCCAATACTAAAATGACTTTTGACTCCATCTGGAGAAGTTTGTGTTCCAGCTTGTGCCATTGATTTAGAACTAGAGTCACTCTCCTGTCAAATATATAATATAAATATGTAAAACTGAATAATTGAAAATAAATCCAGATTGTTAGTATCCAAGAAGTAATATATTCGTTATAATTTTCTGTTTTGTAATTATATCAATAACAAATAACAAATTGATGTAAGATATTATGTATATAAAAATGTAAGGTATTATTTATTAGGAATGATTTTTTCATTTTCATAAGTTTCCAAGACATATTTATTTCTTATTAGAAATATATGGTAATAATAGTAATTAAACTGTAAAACAAAATTGAGTACACCGTAAAACATCCATTCCGTTTTTTTGTTCCATTATTTCATCTTTCAACCATATTGTTTTAAATTAGAATATTATCTTAGTGAAATTGAGAGAAATATATATATAAGAAAAGTTTTACAGAATAAAGATGCAACAGCCGGTGTGGGAAGTGCTGTCTGGGTGATCTGATCTCTAAGTGATGTAGTCACATATGTACAACCTTGACCGTTGAGTGACGTGACTTTTGGCAGGAGGGCAACATTAATGTGATTATCATGAAGAAATATGTATAGTTCATCATGGTGGTTATGTAGTCTATCAGTGTTTCATGAGAGAATAGCTTAGGGCTTTATGTTCATCGAAGAATGTTAAACGGGATTTCAGAAAGGAGTCTAGTGAGAAGGATAATGAGTGGTCTGATAGTACTTTGAAGATCTTTCAGAAAAGCCTAAAATATTTAAATTTCTATATGTCATGAATATAATATCTCTATGGAGTGGTATAATTATCACAAACTTCTTTTCTCCGAATTAAATTATAATTTTAGTATATTTTACTATACCATAACTATCTGATTAATGCCTATCCTTCTCTGATGAAACACAAAGTAAAATTTCTCTTAGATCCAATTTTTTAATAAATAAATGGATTATTAATGACAATCAGAAACTGCATAGCAAACCCAAATAGACCTCTTAAAGTAGTTTCACGAAATCTATATGTCATAAAACAAATCCACAGATATAATGTATTATTTATTCATAACAAAAAAAAAATATATAGGTATTGTAATTATATTTATATTAATAAAAACGTAAATGTTAGATTGTTCAAAACTGCTAATTTCTGAAACTTCTTCACCGATTGCTTTGAAATATTGACATAATGTTTCTATCATATTTAGGAGGGTTTTTATATACATTTAATCACCCTCCAGTCTTCCGTTTTGGAAAGGCAGTCTGAAAAACCTGTGTCACTAAAGACTGTAGTGCCTAAACGGCTGTAATGATTTTAATTAAATTTGGGTAAAGCCTTCTCCTTGAAGCCCTTTTAATTTATGTATATAACATCCTTCCCCAAAATGAGTATGAAAAAAAAGTTACGATGGTTTAAAAACTATATTTGCGAATAACTCAAAAACTCAAAAAGTACACAATTTTCGTTTGATTATACCCCTCATTATTTGAAAGCTTTCTTGATTTCCTACAAAGTTATAAAAAACCCATCGAAATCGAAAAGAATGATTTCCGAAATGAAACCATTTGTAACGGCCAAAGGAGAAAAGTGGGTTCAAATATTTCATTTATCACTGCAAATAAAAAAAAATCACTAAAATAGGACGATTTGGCACAGAGATATAATGCATTAAATATTTAGTAACTTTTGTGGGAGATTTAGAGACCGATTGCTTCTTATATAGAAAATTATATGTTGCAAATTCTTGAATTGAAAAACCAGACATTCTCTATGTCTATACAAGGAATGGAACAACAAAAAATATTACATATTCACAAGTATTGTTACATAAAATATATTAGCAACATCTAATTTCTTTTCTACTTCTTTTTTTATTTAACCAGAATGAGCAACAGCAACGCGTGGCCGCGTACAGCTATTATTTAATAAAATTCATCCAATTTTATTTCAATGCAATAAACATTGTAAAGAACAATTTAAACTAAATATTGAAAACATTGTCCCATAAATAATCTGAAGGAATTGAAAAAACACTTCATTATATTAAACTAATGAAATTAACAAATTATACCTAAGAAGACAATCGTCGCTAATGGCCATGGCAGTCAAAACGACGTTAAAAACCGCAAATAAAAAAAAAAATTCACGGATAAATATTTAACACATTGGCTTATATTAGGAGCGATTAACAAATTAACAATAAGCAGTGAAAAATAGAAGCCTAACATAAATACAGTTTAGATTCTTTCAACTGGTCATTTAATTGGTAAAAAAAAAATTCTATACAAAAAAACTTGAAATTATTTTTCTTAATATTTGTTCTTAAGTATATGAAAAAAAAAGAAGTAAGAAAACGAAAATGTGATTAAATTATTAATCAATCTCTATAATATCTAGTAGTTACATCAGCTGATATTTTATACAAGTTGAAAATTTAATATATCTCATAATACATACTGGCTCTTTGTTTTTTCGTGGCGTCGATGGAGTGCTGTGAAGTGAACAGCTCCCACTTGGGCTAGGAGTAAGATCACGAGTTAAACTACTGACTAGAGCACTCGTATCACTTTGTGTTGAACCTCTTCTTTGAGAAACACTTTCTGCACCTCCATATACTAAAAATTTGAAAAAATAAATCTGTGAGAGTCCAATATAAACTTTGTATGATGGGCGTTAAATGATGTTGGGCCTGAACATCATAGTCAATCTTACTATCCATCAACTAAAAGTATAGTTCTTAAAATTGATAATATAATGCTTGGATGATAAATATTAAAGAAATTTAATTATTCTAGTTCAAGATCTACCAATTCATATATTCCCATTAATAAATTTCTAATCCAAAGCCATACATTAAACCTCTACACTAACTCCCTTTCAACGATACTTATTCTTTAAGCAGAATAAGCAGAAAGCAAAACATTGTGCACTGAGTGTAACTACTTTTACTTTCAATTACCTAGATATGCAATTTATAGAACGGGAAAGTATTGAGATTGTAAAACTTTTCGAATCTGAGTTTTCAGAGAAAATACATGTTTTGAGGTTTGCCGAGTCCAAATAAACCAAGTCCTGCAAAATGGTCTGTGTGTGATCAGTCTAGTGAAAAAACGAAAAGTCATACACAACTAAAATTGGGTATTTAAGGTTTGTACATGCCTGGGATATTACAACAACTTTTTTGTCAAAATCGGCTAAACTGAAGTGCCACTTATATCATAAATTTTACATATTTTTAAATTTTCTCAAAAACAACTCTAACAATTTTGATTAAATTCATAATAATTAAATTAATTTTGTAAAATGAAGCAGTTTTTAATATATAATGTAGGTTTCATTCTTATTGATGTTCCCTAACAGTGTATAAGTGCCTAATATTCCAAAATGTTTTCCTCTAAAATTCTTTTAATTTTTTTTATTTCATATAATTAACCTTTCCACATTGAAAACTGATATAAAAAATGTTTAAATATAATGGATGAAGAAAATTGATTCATAACTAAAGGAGAAATAATGGTTGGAAGTTATACGGAAACAGTCAAGAGTGTCCAACCTTTGCTGATCCACTCTGTTTCCAGATACCCAATGCTCCTCTATACAGGCCTTTAACTTTTATATATCACTTAGCCATGTTTTTTAAAAAGATTTTCATGCAAAATTTTCAGGATTTATTAATATAAATCCAATAATATATATTTACTAATGATAAGTTTTTTTTTGACGAGTTTCATGATAAAGTTCAGAATTTTTCCAAAAGATCCATTTTTCCCCAGAATAATTAATAACATTTGATACTATACACAGTGGTAAAAGGAAATGGTAAGTGATACAAATGTATAAATTTAACATATATGATGAGTGGGAAAACATGGTAATTAATGGTTTAAATTAAGTAATAGCATCGCTTACACTTTGACTTTCTTATTTATGAAAATACCTATCTACTTAAAGGTTGGTAAGTTAAAGTTGTGTGATGCATGCTCCACACCAGAATTTTCTTTCTGTGAAAGCAGAACATTGTACACTGAGTATAACTACTTTTTATATATAAAAGAGTTTGTGTCATTTTGATGCCTACCCTATGTTTTTGCAATGCTAAATAAGGTCGAAATTGATAAAAATGTACTTAAAAGTTTGATTCAATGAAAAATGTACTTGATGACTTTTTGCAATAAACAGACAATATATTAATCTGCATATTTTTTTTTTAATAAGCTTGTTTCCTAATATAAAGTTCTATACATACATAGCTTGACTAATGAATCGTTGATTTCGGCATTGGAGTTATTTTTAAACAACATATGCTTCAAAACTTTTTTTTCATTTATATAAATTTATTTCGCTCAACTTTCCTTATTTTTCCTGAAAAATGATCCTACCACGTACATTTAAGTAAATTTTTATAATATAAAAATTAAAGGTAAAAGAGTGGATAAAATGTTTCATAGAATCCTGTGAAAAGGAAATAGTAAAAAGAAGGAGAAACCACCTTAGCGTGGGAAAATCTAATTAAAAATACTACGAAACAATACTCATCTAACAAAAATTAACTTAAAAAACCTAAGATTTGAAAGAGAGAGTTCCAAATGAACTAGAAAAAATAGTTTATTTGTGTTTAATATTCATGATATATAGATTTATAAACCATGATACTGAATACCTGCAGGAGATACACCTATGCTCCTAGGAGAACCATAAGCCAGTGGACTACTGCTCACACTATCCAGAGCCAAGCCACTGCTATTCTTGGCACCTATTAACATAAAACAAAATTAAAGTAAAGAAAGACACAAAATATATTTTCAGAGAAATGGTAACAAATGTTGAGTCATTATTAACATTCATTTCACAGTTATAGAACTGGAATCATGAAAACACTTCACAGTAGGATTGACAAACACGATTTTATAGGGAAAACCACAGATAGTAAGCAACAGTGGTTTTCATGCAAGAAAATCACATTACATTTTTTTTCATTCTATGTAATGACATCAAAACAAGCAGGGCATAGAACGAAAGTAAAATAAAGGGTTAGGGCTAGATACAACAAATAGGAGATCATGGGGATCTAGTCATGCAAATGAAATGAACATTTACAATTGAATTTGAATCAATTGATAAATAAGCTATGAGGGATTGGCGTCAAGCATTATCAATAAAGAAACATTCCATCTCAATACAGGAAGATAGTGGTGAATAATACAGTTCTATGTGTCTTTTATCCTTTAAAAAGAAATTATTAACAGTAATTAAGCATACCAATACAACATATGTTTACTAAGTTCAAAGAGATAACTATATTAAGAGAAACTGTCAGTCATAACCAAAGCAATGGGGCTTAAAAAATACCTTGACTCCTTTGACGGCCTTGAAATGCTAAAAAATGAAGAAATCCATGATAACCTAGCTGCTTTCTTTTATTTGCTCACATGTATACATCAAACTTATATTAACGTTAAGCATAACCATAACTTGGATTCCTTTCGATTCCTCCTCAAATCAACTAATGTTAATGTCTAGCATAAATTTAGATAAAGGACAGACCGAACTTAAATGAAAACACAGTAGAACCTCGCTTATCCATCCCAGTTGGGAATGAGGTATCAAGTTAAGAGATAGAGATGGTTAAACCAGAGAGTTTAAAAGAAAAAAAACTTTTGTAAAATTTAATAATTTTTTGTAATATCCTCTGTTATGCACAACTCTTTGCAACTATTGAGCCCACTGTTTATAATATTGTCACTGATTTCACAAGGAATTTTATACCATAAACATGGTAATACTGCTCTCAATTCCTGAAGGTTAAGAAACTGCAAATGGTGAGTCAAAAAGCTTTCACTACATTGCATCCCACATGTGCTTAACGGGATTGAGATATAGAGACAATAAAGGAAGGAGTAGATGTGAAATTTCTAAGATTTTCAAGACATTGATGAACAACTTTTCCCCAATAACATCGCAAATTGTTGTCAAGAAACTGGAAATCTGTGCCAATTATGGCCCTCGTTAGAGGAATGTATTCATCTATAATTTCTTAAAGAAAACAAACTGCAATGAGATTACCTTCCACAATATGGAGTAGAGTCTGTCCTCCTGCAAAGATTGCACCTCAAGACTGCATTGAAGGAAGCACGTACTGTGGTAGTGTACTCATCCCCTGTTCTTGGTAACTTTCAGCACCTACATTTACTATAAATACTGAAACGCGACTTGTCTGTAAAGATAACAGCATTCTAATTTATATCCTCATCTAGGCACTCGCTCAACCATGATCTGCAGAGTTGCTGGCAGTGCACTGTTGTTACAGGTCATCGTAAAGGAGCATAAGGTGTTAAACCAACTTCCTTAAGGTGTTAGGTTTGTGTTGGTATGGGCCTTAGTAGGCCTTTTCATTCACCACTTCATTTAGGTTCTGTCAGGCATTTTGCAAAGGGTTGCTTCTTACAGTAATATCAATATTTCTGTCATCCCTTGGTGTCATAGTGTGTGTAGATCCAATAACAGGTCTCCTATTGGTATGTCTGTTTTTTCTGAATCTGTTTAAAGCACAGAAGACCTCAATCTGGGAGATGCCAACATATTCTACATGTTTAACAAACATTCTATCTTTTAGTAATTAATTTATTAAAAATTAAGAATACTTGTTGTTTACTTTTTATGTTTACCTTTTCTTTACTTTTTTTATTGGATTAGCCCCTACCTATTTCTAGAATATGAGGGAGGGAGGAAAGGAAAGAGGTACAACCGAAACTATTCTAACCAGAGTAATGCTAGTTTCAACCAATACACAAAATATTTGTTTAACGAGTAATTTTCTGTAGTGGCTAAGTTAGGGAAATCATTATCAGAATGTAAAGATCAGTTCATTTGACAATAACTACAGTGCATTTGACAATGAGAACTTCAGCAGTCTTTGTGGTCCTAGGGCTTAGAGGAGTCAATGTCCAACCCATGACCATGACGCCATCACACTTTGTGTGAAATTGCACAAACCAGTAGTCCGGCAGGACCTACTTTGCTCCTAAATGTGACCACATGCCGGGGAAGTAACTTCTCAAAGTAGATTGTCTTTGTGAGCCTGTTAATCTTAATTATTTCTGGCCTGAGACGCCCTGGTGTGTACATCGGTGTAATTCGTTCATATAATCTCTCAGTTTACTTCAATTTAATTTTCAGTTCAGTTAAGTTCAGTTTTTTTTTTCTCTTCTCTTTTTTAAAAAAACACTATTATTAATCACGCTATTAAGTGTCGGATCTTCACACCAATCGGAGTAAAGAAAGCGCAGCGAGATTGATAGAGTTCTGGGAGCAACGAGCTGGTAGGCGTCTACTAATCCTAACAGCATTAGACCAGCATTAGACGTTGTTTACTACCGTCAACAGTCCTGGTATTTATTTATATTTTAATTGCGAAGTAATTCTCATTAATAAATTTAAAAAATGGTGCAGTGTAATATTTGCAACAACTCTATCGCACGCGAAGATAAGAACAATATACACTGCGTTAAGTGTAAAATAATTTTTCATGGTAGGTGCGTCAACCTTACTGATAAAGACTCCGAAGCATTAAAAATAATTAAAAAAACTTGGGTTTGCTCTAACTGCGAACAGGTGAAAAAACAAAATAACGAGCCGTCCCCCTCAGAAATACTTGCGGCAGTAAACCGTTTAGACGCTACCGTGAACGAAGATATAAAAAACATGAAAACAGCACTAGATAAATACGGAGAGCTCAGTTTTGAACTAAACGAAAGACTGACGAAGATTGAAAAACATCTAGAAGGTCAAGCTAAAAAATTTGAGGAGATACTATTAGAAAATAAAGCACTCAAATCCCGAGTGGGCGAATTAGAGGTTCGCTTGAATAACGCAGAACAAGGACTATTGAGTAGATCACTGGAGATCCGCGGTATACCGGAGCGACCGGGCGAAACGCCCGCTGCTTTGGTGACCAGTATAGGAGCAAGCTTGGGGATCAGGCTTAGTGTGGAGGACCTGGACAACGTACATCGCCGCAGAAGCCGAAAAGATGACTCGCGACCACCGCCTGTTATCGCACGTTTTGTCAGGCAATCAATTAGAGATGACTTAATTACGAAAAGGAAAGTGAAGAGGGATTTCTCCACGCGGGATATCGGTTGGCAGGAAAATGACTGCCACCGAATTTATCTGGGTGAAGAGATGACTCGCACAAACAGACCCCTCTATTGGTTAGCCCGGCAGAAGAGAGCGGCGGGAAAAATCAAATATACGTGGTTTGCTTCCGGAAAGGTGCGGTGTCGAAAAGAGGACGGACATAGAGTCATCCTGATAGAACAGGCCTCGGATCTAGATGTATTTGACTGACTACCTAGAAGCCGTCAACCCCTTAGCCTCATTAAAATAGTCTTACTTCTTTTCTTAGTGCTATCTCGACACCGTCACTCACCAATCTATTTATTTTTAAGTACATTCTCTTTATTTATTTTTAATGTTAATATTACTTTTTCTTTATTTAGTTTCATGTACGATAATCGCTTTTCTGTACTTTCTACTCGTTTTGTCTTCTCGCTACCAAACACTGACTGTTTCTCTCCAAATCCACTGTATGTCTAGTTCCCTAATCACATGTCAAGTTAACTCTCAATCACTTTCTGCCCATTATGACGAATTCCTGCAATACTTTACCCAAAACTTTTATCATATCATAGCAATATCCGAAACCTGGCTTAAACCTTATATTCCATCATCTTCAGTATCCTTGCCGAATTACATCCTGCTCCGTCATGACCGGGTAAACCGGACTGGCGGTGGAGTAGCCATGTTTGTCCACAATAGCCTAAAGACCCGAATCCTCGATTGCTCCCCATCTTCCGATCATCCTCATGTAGAATATCTCTTAGTAGAAATTCTCAGTAATATTTCTCCTATCCTTTACGCCGTGGTATATCGCCCTCCTCTCGTGCCATTTGACCCGTCCTTCGAATCAACTCTATTCAACTTCGTTCCCCTCTATCCCAGAATAATTATCTCCGGTGACCTCAATACCAATTTCCTCTCAAAATCCAATGACAAATCCTATTTAGAAAATCTGTTTTTCTCACTTCACCTATTCATCGTTCCTTTTTCCTCCACCCACCACACCAGCAGATCTGACACTTGGCTAGACTTCTACATCATCGACTCAGCACAAAACCTCCTCTCCGCCTCTCAAGTGCCAGTATCCTTTCTTTCATCTCATGATCTGATACAAATAACGTATAATATCCGCACTCCTCCAATCCATCCTCGAACTATCACTTTCCGCCAACTGGATACCCTTACTCGAGAAAAAATATTACCTGATCTAGTAACATTGGATTTAAATGGAATATATCATTGCTCCTCTGTCGACACCATGGTTGATATTCTCACCACCAATCTTCTCAATATACTCAATACCCACGCTCCTCTCAAAACCTCCACTTTCCGTCATCGTCCTGCTCCTTGGATGTGTCAGGAAATTAAGGATCTGCAGAAGAGACGCGACGCTGCACGCAGACGCTTCAGACGGACTAGGCTTGCAGATGATTATCAAATATTCAGAGTGCTTCGCAACACGACACAGACAAGGATCCGACAAGCGAAAGCGAACTACTAACACGAAGCCCTTTCCTCAGCTCCTGATATCAAATCAAAATGGCTTCTACTTCGTAAGCTTTCCCTCTGTGAACCTTCTAGATCCCCTTCCTCAGTTTTCCCAATATCACCTGATGACCTAAACTCCCACTTTATATCGGTTTCCACCTCTTCGTTACCATCCCCTTCCGGCTTTTCTCCAGAGGTACCTTTTAACGACAATAATTTTTATTTTTCCGACATTTCTCCCACAGACCTTATTACCGTTATAATGAAATCCCGTTCCAATTCCATAGGCCCAGATGGCATTCCTATCAAACTAATAAAATTATGTCTCCCTGAAATCCTCCCAGCACTCCTTTTCATCTACAATTTCTCCCTGCAGAATTCAATATTCCCGACCTCTTGGAAAAAAGCCATTGTCCTTCCTTTAAACAAAAAGCCTAATCCATCCTCTCCCGAAGATTTCCGCCCAATATCAATCCTTTCCAATCTTTCTAAACCCCTAGAAAAGTTGGTGCAATCCCAAGTTTCCAACTTCCTTGAACAATCCAACCAACTCGATCCTCTCCAATCTGGCTTCCGTCCTGGCTACTCTACACAATCTGCTCTGATTAAAATTACTAGTGATATCCAGACTGCAATAGATGACAAAAAACTAACCATACTTATACTTCTTGATTTCTCTAAAGCTTTCGATTCCATTATCCATTCCATCCTTTTCAACAAACTAAAATCATTATCCTTCTCCAAGAGTTCCATCTCTTGGTTCCAGTCTTTCCTCTCACAACGAACCCAAGCAGTTTCCATACCTAATCAACCTCTATCTGCCTACCTTCCTTTATCCTCAGGAGTTGCACAGGGTTCAAGCATGTCTCCTCTTCTTTTCAGTTCTTATATTAATGACCTAAATGATACAATTATCCATTGTTCCCACCACCTTTATGCCGACGATTCTCAAATCTATTTATCCTTTTCTCCCGCTGAGTTATTGGTGGCATTTGCCAAAATTCAAGAAGATTTAGATCGAATTAATGCCTGGGCCAACTTAAATGGATTAAGGCTAAATGCTGCCAAAACTCAGGCCATTCTCATTGGTTCCAAGCCCCTTCTTAGATCCCACACCAACTTTCCCTCACTCTATCTAAACAACCACCCCATCACCTTCTATCCCTTTGTTAAAAATTTAGGCTTTCTCATAGATCAAACCCTTTCCTGGAATCACCATATCTCTCATATATCCCGCCGTGCAATTTCTACCCTCAAACTATTCCATCACTTCCGCCATCTTCTACCCCAAAATACCCGTAGACTCCTAGTTTCCTCTCTCATCTTTCCCCACTTTGACTACAGCTGTGTGGTGTACGATGGCCTCTCGGTGGAACTGCGTGATAGACTCAAAAGACTTATGAATTGCTTCGTAAGATTTGTAATCGGAACACCGAGACGCTCCCGTGTCTCCCACCACTACACTGAGTTAGGGTGGCTCTTCCCCTCCTTAAGAAGACAATATTTCCTTGGCACTTTCCTTTATCAAATCATTACCGATCATCGTCCTTCTTATGCCTACAACCTTCTCCAATTTAAGTCCTCAATCCATTCACTCACTACAAGATCCCGACCCTCCGACCTATACATCCCTTCTCATAGATCTGCCTCATTCCAAAATTCCTTTATAGCCCGCTCTGTCAACTTTTGGAATTCCCTCCCGATCAAAATTCGACATGCCCCTTCCTTGTACACATTCAAAAACCTCCTATTCCAATTCCTGTTCCAAAAACAGTCAGATACCAGCTAACGATTAATATTATACATGTATTGTGTAGCAATCATATAATCATAACACTTGGTAAGAGATTGTACATGCATTTCCTACTATCGACGTAGGAATTTCAATACATACATTTTTTTGTATTTTTTTTTTTATTCAATTATAAATAACTGTTTATTTTCATATATATATTCAAGTAAAGTTTTTTTTTTTTATGAAATGAACTCATTGTATCTCTTTTTCGTTCTTCATTTCTCAAAGTGTATGTTTATGTTGTTCAACCCTTAAATATAATTTTGTTCATAGTTCAAATGATTCGTTCACAGTTTTAATTGTTTTATTCATAATTTTAAATGCTCTGTACATAGTTTTATCTGTATTGTATATAGCTTGTGCACCTAAGATTTCTTTACTTTTTATTTTATTTTATCAATTTAATTTATTGTTTCAACGTTCAGGCCAGTAATATTCTATTATTTTGTACATTATTGTTATTCTGAAGGGACTTAGTCCCAGAATAAAGTTTTTTTTTTCTATCTATCTATCTATTTTGTTACCTTATTAATCCTCATAATTTCACATGTCAAGATTTGCTGTAGTAAAAACTTTCTCTTTTGTATATTAGTGAATTTTTTGTTTGAATAATTTAATTCTAATGATAGCATAAAAGTGTGAAAGTTGTTTTTGTGTTATCCTTTTTTCCTTATATATAATTAATTACATAATAATATTGTAGTGAATTCCTGATGATTGATAGCTGATTATGATACAATTTTAAAGAAATTATAAAATAAACACATTAGGAAGAAAAGAAATATTCACAACCTAAAAAAAATTTCTCCTTTTCTTTTTGCTTCAAAAAGCTGGTTAAGCAGGGCCTGGTTAAGTGAGGTTCTACTATTTATTAATTTCTAAAGTCGAAATTATTTCTAAAAATATAAAATTATACATTTAAGGAATAAATACTTATGCACTATGTACGGTACTATAATTAAGGTTCCTATTGTAATGTTCTTTTTTAAAGGATATTACAGAGGAACCAAATCCTGATTATTACAGATTTATATCATCATAAATGAAAAAATAAAATCTGTAACATCCTACAGAAATATAGATTTTATAGTAAACAGATAAAAAAAAAATTATTTTATGAAATTTCTGAAAAATGTAAAACAGAGTTAACAAAAAAAAAAAAAATAAAAAATAAGTACACCATAGAATTTTACTCCTACAATGATAATTTTCAAGTCGACTTTTATAATTTATTATTTGGTTTTCATCACAATTTTTATATTTATAAAATCTAAGCCCCTTTTGATATTGATTATATTCTACTTCTAATGTCCATTTATAAATCGTAAATTGAGATGATTTATTGTAAAGTTTATTGATCCCAGTATTCTCCTCGTATTTGAGTAAATTCAAGGGCAAAAATAAGTTACAGAACATATGTGGACTAAATGATAACTTGTGTGAAATTCTGACAAATAAAAATATTGTAGTACTTATTTTATAAAATATAAAATGTTTACTAATATAAAATATCTAAAATAAAGAAGAGATAAAAAAAGGTCATTGTGAGCTAATTAGAAAATAAACAATCATTTAATCACATTTCAAACCTGGTATGGGAAGAGGGCTGGAGGAGGATGTTCTAGAGGGTGGTAAGGGACTAGAACTTCTAGAAGCTCTACGAGGTGTGTCTGGAGGCGTTGCACCATTTCCATTAGCTCGGCTTTCACCTATTGCTTTTACCAATTCTTTGACAGAAACTCCAAGTAGTTCAGGAGGGACATCTCTGAGAAAAGTTAATCCACATTTTAAAACTTTTAATAGCTTTTGATGATAGATAGTAAATCCAAATTAATTTCATTATCAATTTATAAAACTGAAAGCAAATATAACAATAATAACTAATCAAAATTTAAAAAATTATGAAGATAAGGAATTTACTTTGAGGAAACTGCTTTAGATGACTTCCCTTCTTCCGATTTCTGACATTTTGTAACAGCAGGTGACTTGGGCGATTCTCTGAAGAATGATCTTGATTCTTCTTTCAAGTTCCCAGCTAATGAAAAAGATAAAATTTATAAATACTTAAAAAACATATAACTTTATTTATATTTTAATCTGAAAATATTTGTTAATAAACCTTGATGGGAAGTTGAACCAAACACAAATGGTACCGAAGGTACAGGAGCTCCTACTGTTGGAAATAATGGAAAGTTTTCTTGAGATGGAGGACCAAAATCAAACCCTTTTCTTGGAACAGAAGACCCAAAAACACTTTCTTCACAAGGTTCATCTATTAAAAATAGATGACATATTGTTGTAACGTTTCATTAAGATATAGTAAGATAAGATATAGTAATATTTTAAAAACATTGTATGATTGTTAAATATTAATTAATAAGGGATCCAATGTATAAATAAGGTTACAATTTGTTATTTTGTTTTTACATTAGCTACTAAAATGAAAAATTAGATTATAATACAATGACTAAATAAAATTATACTTGCTTCTATCTGAAACATCTGGCTTCAAATAAATTGTATTTCTGTCTACTGCTAAAGACCAAGCTTCACCTTCCCAATTGAAGCAATATTTGCTCAGTGTCTCTTTATCAAGTTGAATCCAGGTACCATCACCATTTTCAACCTAAGGTAAAATATATAATTAAATTAAAATACTGTTTCAATTTTACTTAAGATTATTAAAAAGACCTTCAAATCTTTTATTTATTACTGTAACAGTTATAGAAGTACAGTGATAATTCCTAAAGCTAGATATTTTATAAGTCATAGTTTAAAAGATCTATCACAAATTAAATACTAATAGTTGATTGCAGGGAAGGCGTATAGAAGAGACGACCACATCGCCCGGTCATATTACCACAGACAGCCAATGGCTCTCCAGGTTGGGGGAACAGTACACTAATACAGCAAACTACACTCACCCTCACACCACAGATAAAGATCATCAACAGTACACATCCTAGGAGCACCTTCCCTAGGTAGCCACTCCAGATGGAGGAGCAAGTCAGGGAGCTCCGAGGAGGCAGCCCCTCCACCTGACTCGGGGGTCGAGGGCTGACTACCCTCACTTCCTAAACAACCACTTACAAATCCTCAAATGGAAGAAGCTGGATTGTCTCAATGGATACGACCCAGGAAACACCATAAGGATCTACGTATAGCTTATTGGAACATTTAAACACTTAACCGACTGGGGGCTCTACGGAGTATCCTTACACAATTGGACTTATACAAGGTGAACATAGCAAGAATCCAGGAAATCCGCTGGCTGGGGAAAGGAATACAAGAAATGAAACAGCACACCATATACTATAGCTGCCATGAAACCCATCACACTTTTGGAACTGGATTTGTTGTCAGGAGAAAAGCCAGGCAACTCGTAAGACATTTTGTGCCACATAGCCCACATCTATGTTACATCAAGCTCAAGGGAAAATCCCTTAATTATTCTATCACAAATTGCAATGCACCAACTGAGATTGCCACAGAAGAGGATAAAACCTTGGCAAAACTCTAAACAAATGCCCTCACCAAGACGTGGAGTTAATCCTCAATGTTAAAGTCGGCCAAGAATAGGCATATCAATCCAGAAACATACCTTACACGAAACAAGCAACTACAATAGGCACCGACTAGTAAGCTTCATGGCTGAGTACGAACTAATTGTAGGATGCATGCTGCTCCAAAGAAGAAACATCCACAGCAAACTTGGAGTTCACCAGATGGAAAAGTGGCCAACCAAATAGACCTCCTCCTTAAAAGCTCCAGATACAAATCTGAACTTCTAAGCAATAGAACATATAGAGGAGCTAACATGGATACCGACCATTACCTAAGCATAGTTAGAATCCAGTCAAAGTTTCCTTTCAAGAAAGCCCCGAGGAAACAAACCAAGAAGATGTTCAAGACTGGGAAGCTATAGAAACAAGAACGCAAGGAAGATTATCAGCAAAAACTCTAAGAGTAGCTCACAGGAAAACCATGGCGAGCGGACTCCAGCCTTGATGAACAATGGAAGAGAATTTCTAATTCCATCAAAGCAGCAGCAGAGGAAGTAGTGGGACTCAGGCCAAAGTTAGAAAGGTCTGTATGGGTTGACGATGAGTGCCTCCAAGCTATGAAAGATAAGAACAAGGCATATAACAAAAGAGTTCAAAGGCACACCAGAAGCACAGATGAGACCTATCATGAGAAGAGAAGGGCTGAGAAACGGCTGCATCAAAGAAAGAAAAGAGAATGGGAGAACAAGTGGATGGAGGAAATCGAGAACCTTCAAAGTGCTAATGATTGCAGTCTCTTTTTCCAATGAGTGAATGAAGGAAAACTAGCCAAACCAAAAGTCAGATGCTGTAAGGACGAGGCTGGTCACCCCCTCACAGAAACAGAGGATGTACTCAAAAGATGGAAAGGCAATTAACAGAGCAGATGATTTAAATTCAAGCCCTGAAGAAGAGGAACAAGCTCTCGTTGATGACCCCCGATGAGAATGAGATAGAGGAAGCCATCAGAAAGCTGAGGAATAACAAAGCACCCGGGATAGATAAGATCCAACCAGGACTTCTGAAATACAGCGGGGATGAACTAAGGAAGGAACTCCACAATATGATAGCAACGATCTGGTAGCAGGAACGGATGCCAGAGGACTGGGCGAAAGCTGTAATATGTCCGATACACAAGAAGGGAGATCAATCTGACTGAGGAAACAGTCATGGAATTGCACTCTTGTCATGTTCATACAAGATCCTATCAAGCATCTCTTTGAACGACTGTCACCCTTTGCTGAAAGGCAATTAGGGAATTACCAGACAGGCTTTAGAAGAGATAAATCAACCATCGACCAGCTTTTCTCATCCATCTCTTTGTCAACATCAAGGTCGCGTACCATAGTATAGATTGGATGGAGCAGTACCAGATCCTTGACGAAATGGGAATACCTATAGAGCTGACGCGACTGGTAAAAATGACCATGAAGAACTCAATGTGCGTAGTAGGTATTGGAGCCGATGTTTCAGAGGAGTTCTTCGCAGATAATGGAGTGAGGCAGGGAGATGCACTCGCATGCCTGCTCTTCAACCTAGCCGTGGAAAGACCTGTCAGAAGATCAGGTATTGAAGTTGGTGGTACTTTGTTTAACAGACTAGTGCAGCTACTGGATTATGCTGACGACTTTGACACAATGGCCAGATCCAAACGAGCCCTAAGGGAAGCATTTCTTGCCCACGAGGAAACTGCAAAAAAAGCTGGATTAAGAGTAAAGCAGCAAAAAACAAAATATATGCAGGTTGGAGGGCTAGGAAACCACGAGGAGTACTTTGAGGTAGGACAGACAGTACAGATTCCAGATAGTCAATAACTTCATCTACTTGGGAAGCGAGATAAACTCCCAAAACGATATCTCCCAAGAAATTAAGCATAGGATAATAACCCCTAACAGGTGCTACTACAGCTTATCCAAAAACTTCAGAAGCTGGTGTCTTTCAAGGAAGACAAAAATCAGCCTGTACAAAACTGTAGTCTGTCCAGTAATAATATATGGATAGGAGGCAAGGGCCATTAAGAAGGAGGATGAAAAAGGGCTCTTGGCGTTCGAAAGGAGAATATTGAGAAGGATAGATAGAGCCATCAAAGCAGGCGGGACATGAGAAGATCGAAGAACCAAGAATTATACATGCTCTTTGAAGATATTGAGAACCAAGAATTGTATGGGCTCTTTGAAGACATCGAGATCTCCAAAGTCATAAAACTGGGAAGACTTAGATGGGCTGGCAATCTAGCCAGAATGGACACTGGCGAGATTCCGAAGAAAGTGGTCACAGAAGAGTCTAAGGGACAAGGAGAATGGGACGACCGAATGTGAGGTGGATGGATGGTGTGACTGAGGATACAAGGAATCTTCTTGGCATGCAGGACAGGAGGACTGCTAAACAGGATAGGGCCAACTGGCGGAGTCTACTTGAGGCGGCCCAAGGATTCAGTGATGAGTTGTTGAGCTGTTGTGCATTTATGTATGTAGTTGATTGCAGGGGTGCCCATTCCCCCCAAGGTCAATAGAACATGAAACTTCTCCCACCCTTTCCAAGATATTTTACTGCTATCCTCTTCTTAAACAGTGAAAACAAAATTATAATTTAAAAATTCGTAGATTATACACAATTACACATCCTGCAGTCTTTTCCATGCTTCCATTTGTCTTTTGATTTGAAACTTTACATTTCGAAAATTCATAACCCCGTCGAAATGTGCCTCCATCAAAAATTGAAAACCCCATCAAAATGTGCCCTCTCAAAAATGTTTATGGCGCAACTTGCATCTTGAAACATCCTTCTGGGCACTCCTGGTTGATTGAAATAATTATATCAACAATTATTTTGTGAGACCTAATGTTGGCTGTGGCATGGTTTCAATTCATTTCTCTCCATTAAATCTTTACTAGAATGGATTCATTCACAAAAGTCTATTGAGGATTGTATTGATAAATGAATAAATAATAGGAAAAAATAAGTAGGAACTTTTCTTTTTTTGGCGTTAAGACTTGTCAAAGCAAGTCCTATTTTGCAAAGTTTAAGAAGTTGTTTGGTAAAGTTAATTTGTGAGAAATTATATGTGATTGACCACCAGACACCTTTACCATTCCAATATCAAACGTTTCAGTTGAGCTCAAGATATGTTGAGTGAAAAGTATTTCTCTTCTTCCTATTTGAAGTTTAAATTTAAAATATGATTATTAATTTACATGTAACCATATCCCAAATTTATGTTTTTATACAGAGACATTTGATTGGGGTCTATGCCTAAACAAAAAATGTTAAATCAAAGAAGTAAACTATTGTGCATGTTACTATGAGACAATCAAAATTAAGACATTAACTTGCTACCTATACACACCTACTTAAAATAATTTTATTAGGTCTTATGCCTTGGAATGGTCAGAGTTTCATAAACAAAACACAAACAAAGTCTTCAAACATCCTCTTGAAAAATATTGAAGCTTAAGAGGCTAGCACCTCGGTGTGTCTCTATACAATTTTACATACTGTCTTACTCATGCCAACTGTCAGAGAGTACATATCTACTCACTACCATCAATTTTGTGATAAATTTCATGGATATACCAATTTCTGGAGAAGAGAAAGACCACTAGTAGCATTCCTGATAACATCAAAAGAGTGCTTGAAAAGCCATCAATGAGACCTGTAATTTTCTTTTACCTAGAATAATGTAATGGGAGAGATATTGCTAAATATTTTTTTCTTCCTCATGCCTGACATGCCATTATTTTGTTGTTGATTTTGAAAAGCAAACCACTGATTGTCAATCATTTTATTTTAAGCAGGTGTGGATTTACAAATAAAGTTAAAACAATAGAGGTAAAATTAAAAAAAAAATACAGATACAAACATAACAAGTTTAATGTATAAAACCTAAATTATAAAAGATACATAATATTTAAAGCCATTGATCAAGAATATCTATCAAATCACTCTCAATTTAGAATTTTCAAAAACAAAAATTAAGATGAAATAAAATGATAAAAAGTGTAATTCTTACCTGGTCAATAACCGTAACACAATTTCCATGACCAAGCATTCCTACTGGTGGAGCTTTCAAACTTGGGTTGCTCCGAACATTATGGCCTGAAGCACCACACTTCACTACTTTATATTTGGTAGCTCTCTTATTTCTTCTGTAAAAATAATATTTATTATTAAAGGTTGAAAAGTTGAATTTTTAGAATTAATTATTATATTATATAATTCAAATAAGAACTTACGGTGGTTCAATAACAGGAGATTTTCTCATATTTGGATCCTTAATTACATGATCAAGAAGAGATTTTGGTTCTTGAACAGGCAATAAGAGGGTTTTTCCAAGATGCTGATTGAATTGAAGGCACCATGCTTCAGCATAGCTACCATCAGGACAATACTGACGAATGGTGTCCTGATTCAGGCGTAACCAAACACCATCATCATTGTGAATCTGAAGTAGAGCAATATCATTCAGAATTACAAATGTATAGAGAAATTCATTTTAAGAAGCTTTCAGGAAATTTCAGTGAAAATTGTAAACTCTAAGAATGCAAACATTTTATGTTTAAAATAAAATAAATTCGTAAAGTTAGGCATAGATAGAATTCATGATTGAGTTTTTCTAAGAAATAAGGTGTGATATGTTAAATTAATTTAATGAACTTCCATGGAATAGTTATTATATGTATTTCCTTTAACCCATTTAATTTTTAATGAAGTATAATATAATTAATCTAGTATTTATATGTTAAAAAAATCATTGTTCTTTCTTTTCCATCAATTCTCTTCAACAAAGTCTTTCAGATTATAGGTAGGTGCTTTAAGCTTTCTGTGTCAAGTATCAGACTCCTTCAATTGATTTTTCATCTCTTTGATGATTCTTAATTATAATTCTCTTAGGCTAATTCATTATTCCTTCAATTAGACTTATAAAGAACATTTTCAGCCATCTTTTGAAACTATGGAAAATTAGTTTCATCACCAACTTTATCTTATCATTATGATACCATTCTGTCACTGCATACTGAAATCCCACTAGGTATTTCCAATAAGAAAAATGCCTTAAAAAATAAGAGACTTTAATTGGAATTGTATGCTTCTTTCTTCTAGAATGAAAACCATACATAAAGTTCTTCTCAATTGACTATCTCATGCAGCCTTGTAGGAACCCTTGTATTCATGCAGGAAATGATAACATGTCATATTTTCAAAATAAAAAGAATCAGTATGGGTTTTACTTTTTAGATATGAAAAAATATGGCTTTGTGTCTGTAGTAAAATCCATGTGAAAGGAATAACATATTCAATTACTAATCCTAGTAGTATTGATATTTTTTATTTGTAAAATTTGAAAAATATAGGTAATTATGTACCCAATAGATAAGATGAGAAAGCTATATTTAAAGAACCCACTTGACAGATTTTTTATATTTTTAATTTCAACAAAAATTGTGTAAAAACAAAATTACTTACCTCATCAATAAATGCAATTGTCCCATTAACATGAACGATACCAATCTGTTCACTCTGCAGAGAAGGATGTGCCCTCACACGAAGACCAGCACTGTTTTTAGCAACAAACTTACGGAGTTTATTTGGTTGATGTGGTGTTTTCTTTACAACACTCTGAGATGGTGGGGCTATACCTTGTGGAGGTTCTTTAACTTCAACTTTGTACCCCTGTTAAATAATAGTATCCATTACAGTAAATATGTAAAAATTTAAAAAATTCTGAAAACTAAGAAAGCAATCAAGTACAAGCATCATAAGATTATAGCATCAAAATACTGTAAAATCAATTAATATAATAAATAACTAAATAATAAGAAAAGAATTAAGAGTAGCAAAGAAATCACTGATGGTGTAGCTTTTAATATATTTATTAGCATTATTACAAGAAATAATGTTTTGGGTGGGTATCGGAAATTGAATTTCCATACATTAAATAAAGCATCATTGAGACCAAAAACAAATAACCATTTTTTAAATAAATATTAAAACATTTAAAATATATCGTTTAAATAGGCAGAAATATATTAAATTAATATAAGAATTTTCCATGAAATAATTATTTTATGTTTTATCTTTTTCTCCACTCATGGAAGTTTATTTGTTTTTTCTCTTAATATTCAGTTCAATGACACATTAAAAAGAGATAACTTAATTTTTTCCTGCTCATAAAAATATAAAATGGAGTTCAAAATGGCAAAAAAATAAATTGATGTTAAATGAAAATTGAATAAAATGATGTTTATTAAAAATACAAATCAAGCAATATTAATAGTTTTTATAATATTACCTCATGCATAGGATAACCGTCAATGTTAGCCAAAATAGAATACCATCCTATACTAGCAGGGGTCCAAGTTGCACAATACGTTCCATCACAATTAGGTCGAACTAGCATATTCTCGCTAGACCGCTTAATAACAGGAGAGGTATATCTTAGTTCTTCAAATGAATAGTTTTCATAAGCCTAGAAAAAAAAGATTGTGAGTACAAATTATTTTGAACAGAAAGAATAAAGGCTATAATTTATACAGTTATTCAAACTTACTTTCATAATAGTTATTGCATAGTAACACATCTTGTCTTTAACAGTCACTTCATAGGGAGTGCCAAGCGATGGTTGAGCATGTCCTCCAAATGTCAACTCATCGGGCTGTGAAACACGTCTCATTTTTCTATTTCCACCAACCTCTTTTTTTTCTATGGGTACAGCTTTTACTTCAATCTGATAAAAGTAAAATTAGGCATGCAATAAAGTAAAGGCTAACAAGGTGGAACATAAATATATTAAGATATATTATTAATTTACGGTAAATAGGCAAAAGTAAAGTTACATACTTTGAGGTTAGGGACATGTACAGTGTCACCATACTGATCTTTAGTCAAGACAGTAAGTTGTGCAGGCCATCCACAGCGCATCTCCTCCCTGGCATAAAGGAGTTCACACCTTCCAGGGTCCACAAAGGATTCTGGTTGAAGCCACCTAGTAAGGCGGCCGCCACTGGTTCCTGGTGCACATGTTACCAAATCTCTCAAAAAGAGCCTTTCATTCGAGTGGCAACTATGCAAAAAAAACAAATAAAATAAATAATTAATAAAGAATACATAAAGATAAATTGCAAATATAATGACCATGTTACAAAAAATAAATAAATAAGATACATGGAATTCATCCATTTATTTGTCAATACAACATCCAATAATTCAGAAAGTTGTTGAGCCATAAAAACATGAAAAATCAATATATCTGATTCAAAATGATTAGCTACTTTAATTTATAGAATGTTTTGTTTCTTACAGCAATTTTTACAATTAAATATTACAAAAATTAATAGTGGGTCACCAGTTTACACTGAGACAGATATTATAGACAAATTAGGAAGGAAATGAAAAGACTTGTTTTATGTATATTTATTAATCTCAATGTTCAAGATGTGCATGAAAGAGTAACATTGCCAAGCAAAACTTGTATTTCATTTGCTTTCTAACATGACATCCTAAAATCTCTAAAGTAACTTTATTGATTAGTACGTGGGTATAATCCAGAGGAACTGTAACAGTTATGTTTAATCTCAATATTTAATATTTAGAGTCACAATAGTCAATTACATGCAAACTTCTCACTCATTTCACACACAATATGATCCAGCGATCCCTTAATTAGTTATATTTCTTCTTTAATCCTGTAAGTGATGCACTCTCTCCAGCTATGCATTTATTTCACCTTCGATCAGATCAGTCTCTGTTTGGAGCCCTCTGCGGGAGTCTGAAGTGGGAGCCCCTTATCAGGAAAATTTTTATATATAAAGTGGTTTTCAGGGATTTAAATATGTAATAAATTTACTAGCCCTCAGAAGGAGTCCCAATCATTTTATAGCAATAACAAAATAAAAAGTAAATATATTTAGGACCCATCAGAGGAGCTACACAAAAATTCAGAAATAAACTAATACAAAACAATTATTTTGGGCACTGCTGATTCGGTGGCTCTCAGCGATTGTCGACCTGGCCTGCTTTCAATGCATTTACGTGGCAACGTCCTATTGCTGACAAGATTGAATCCATTTTTTAATGCCTCATTAATTAACCTCTCTTTCATTTGAAAAATACTCTCGGAGAGCTTTTATGTCCCAAGGCAGCCAGTGGCGGATCCAGGAATGTCCTAAGGGGACGGGCGCACTTGTGAAACAGGTGAATTCCTTGCACTATATGTATATAAATATACCCCTAATCAAAATAATTAGTGATGTTCAGTCCGCCATAGATGACATAAAACTAACTGTCCTTGTACACTTTGGCTTTTCCAAAGCCTTGGATATCATTAACCATCCCATTCTCTTATCCAAATTAAAATCATTATCCTTTTCCAATAGTTCTATCCTGTGACTTCAATCTTTCCTCTCTCAACGCTCACAAGCTGACATTATCCCTAATCAACATTAGGGTCTTCTTATCTTACTATGTCCTAAGGAGTGGCCCACGACTCTAGCATATCTCCTCTTCTTTTTAGTTCTAAGAACTTGATATAATATCAACGACATCCATAAATCAATCTTTGACTGTTCCCATCACCTCTTCCCAAATTCACCTTTCATTCTATCCCTCATAGTTGCATGATACGTTTGCCAAAATTCAAGAAGGCTTGAATTCGATCAGTGCTTGAGCAAACTTAAATGAATTAAGACTAAAAACTGCCAAAACTCACGCCATTGTCATTGGTTCCAAACCTCTTCTCAGATCCTATACCAACATTCCTATCCTGTACCTAAATGACTATCCCATCACCTTTACCTCCTCAGTAAAAAATGGCATTTTCATAGACCAACAGCATATTGCTCATATCTCCCGATAGTCAATTGGTACCTTGAACTATTCCATCGCTTCTGCCATCTTCTACCCATTCCCACATGTAGACTCCTAGTATCTTCCCTCACCTTGATTACGGCTACGTAGTGTACGGTGGTATCTAGTGTTTCGCACCACTATGCTGAGTTGGAATGGCTCTTCCCCTTCTTCCAAAGACAATATTTTCTAGGTACATTCCTTCACCAAATAATCAATAATCATTGTCCGTCTTACGCATACAATCTTCTATAATTCAAATCAGCATGACATGGATGATAGAATATCCACAGCTTCTCCACAAGATCTCGTCCTTCTGACCTTTACACCTCTTTCCACAGATCTGCCCCATTTAAACATTCCTTTGTTGTCCGTTCCACGGCACTATGGAATTCCATTCCACCAAAAATCCGCCATGCATCATCCTTATCTACATTTAAAACCCTCTTGTTCCAATTCCTCTTCACAATTCACTCAGACGCTGGCTAAATATTTATTACGCAAGGCTTTAATTTTCTTTATACATTAATTTTTTTTTAATCTGTGTTGAAAATGAATTTCATCACCATCCAGAAAGCATTGTGAGTAGGTATAATTTGTTT